TGTATATCAGCATGTGCAGATTAAGCAAAAACACCATTTAGTCTAAAGCATTACATTTCAACAAAGCTTTGTTAAGGTACATTTTAAGGCTCTTCTATTAGATTGCATTCTTTTCCTAGTTTAAATCATATTATTTAAAGTGTATGGTTCAATTAAATGTGTAAAATAATTGTTTAAATCCATTTTTAGTAGGTTTCTGTAATTCATCTCAAAAAAAGTGCCAAGAGTAGCCCACATATTGTGGCAGCTCCGCTAATCACGATGCTTTTGTCACCACCTAAGGCCATTTCACTCCCACAGACAACAAAAACGTGACTGCGAGAGTGAATTTGCTGGAAGTTTAAACATTGTTGATATCACTGCAGCAATGATGTGAATCCTAAGAAATATCATATGAGGGTCATACATATGGTGGTCCTATATCCATTTTTTTTCCCCCATCAGATGGAATTTTGCAGCTTCAAACAAATCACAGAATGAGGGAAAAAAACTAAACTCAGGATACAAGTAAGAGATGAGTTAGTGAGATAGAATGGCCATGAGACAACTGCCTGCAGGAAAAGTACATGTGGCTGGAATAACGTGACCAGTCAGCACAAAGCGTGACTTCTCCACTGCAGGATATTAGCATACTGTTGCAAAGGGGAGACAGAGGGCGTGGTGGTGACCTTATGATAGCTCAGTGGGAATATAGAGTAGACTGAGGCTCAGGCAAATAATGCAAACTACCTGCAGTACACCCACAGCTATGAATAAATGGCTGCTTTTTTTTTTTTTTTCTTCTGACTGCAACTGCCTCCTAAAACACTGGAGAATGGCAGCTTGCCTTCCAGCAAAGTGGGAACATTTCCATAACAGCCATGAGAAAATGATGCTTTGTAATAAGAGGCCACACAATGAAAGGGTCATTGGCATGTCTCGGTTACCTTGGCAACAAACTGCCACAGAGACAGAAGAAGCATGGTGCAGCGATGCCGTCTGTGCTGACAGCATTGTGAAGAAACCTGTCTGCATGCCTCTGTCATTACGTCGTCGTCTTTTTCATCACTCTTGGCCTGATGCCTCGATAATGATACCTGAATTTTAAGTATATTCAATCTCATTTTCCACTTTATATGCAAAGCGTCAAAAAGCATAAAAGAGAATTAGACGCGCTCGCTGAAAAAAAGCTGTTTCCCAAAACATGTGAAGGAAATGTTATCCAGTTAAACAAATAGAAGCAAAAATAGGAGTTTTGTTTTAAAGACTGACTTAATAAAGGCCCAGTTGGTGCTAATGACTGAAAATATGAATCAATTTCTGTAACATTACTGATAAAAACAAACATTTAACTTTAGTTGCTGTCACTCAGTGTGAGGTTAACAGGAGGTGATGAGATACAGATTGTGTCTGTTTGCAATCAGCTATTAAAATGAGAGTCAACAATGAACTGGCTTCCAACACGCCATATATTTCAGAGGTATGATGAAACTGTGGCTTCTTGAGGGTTTTTTTGGCTTTAAGCACTGTTTGAGTAATGCATACGTGATGACTATTTCATTTTTTTTCACACAGGCGTTTGTGGGGTACGGTGTAAGTTAAGATAGATAAGAAAAGACTGCTCAGAAAACTAAATTAACACAACAAGATAAGTTCCAATAAGAAGCAATAAGATATAAGTACTTTAAAAAGACAAGTAAGCTAAAACAGAAAAAACACAAATAGAAAAGCAAAAAGTAATACTGGCAGTAATACTGGTAACTGGCAATAATTCTAATGTAGTAAAAACCTGACAGCGGATAATTCATAATTTGCTCTCTGTGGAAAACAGAGAGATCTCATTTCAGAGCCCCTATATGTACGCATTACGCTATAATGTTGTTAGTTACTATTTTAGACCAGACAATGAAAGATATAATTTGTGTGTTTTTTTTTTCTTCTTCTTTTAAGCAAGTTGCAGCTTGTAGTTCTCACTGGAGCTGAATGTCATCACAAATCCTTTCCCGAAAGCTGTCACCTTTAGTTTCCTTAATGTTGACTGCAATATTACCAAAACAAACTCTTCATGCAATCACCTATATACGCATTAATTTGTGTCTTTCGACATGATTTATTGCATATGAAAATAAAATACTTCTCATGTAATTCAAATATTACACATAACAAAGAAATAGTGCTCATTACGTTAAGATATCAACAGCCCCTCATGACTTATTTAAGATGTCTGTGGAGATTCTCAGCCATCCAGGTCATGGTTATTCTTGTAGCTGAACTGATGAAGCCTCTTGGATGAGAGGTGAAATGTCTTCAAGAAACTCAAGCAGTCCAGTTGCTATGATTAAACTATGAGAGTGACTTACTTAAGCTAATATTTAAAATCCAATTCTTTCATCTGCAGCAAGATGGCAGCATTCTCTCTGCAAAAGTTCAAGTGATGATATCAGGGCCAGTAAGTAATTTCACTCCTCCTGAGCAAAGGAAAGGGATGAATACTCAGCCCGGTCATGGATCTAAAACATGCTTGTGACTTTAACCAAAGCCTCATTTCCGACAACTCTGCCCTGCGTTTTATGAGAATTTTAGGTGTTTCGTGTTTCTATGCTTTCAATGTGTTTTGTTCAGGAAACAAACCGACATTAAGATTGTTTTGTCAGTCCACATCCTCTTGTTCAGAATGAGCAGTCTTGCGTTCTCTTGCTAAAATAAATAGTGGGGATGCAAGACTGAGTTCAGGCCGGGGCATGCACATGACAAAAGACGCATTCCTGTAATGCTGCATACCACCTACTCAGAACAGCAACAGACCAACGCATAACAGTGTGTGAAGATGTCAACATGCACTGCAGCACCTTGCTATGCACTGCACCTTTGCCATGACTCACTAGCTGACAAATGACTGCAACTTGCAGACTGCAACTGAGATACTACAAAATCGCACGTATCAGAAACTACTCTGCAAAAAACCCAGAGTTATGAAAGGCAATGGAGTTGCTATTCGTTCTGAAAAGCATGTTTTAGCCAGATATAGAGCTAATCTGTACCATTAGTTGTGGCTGACTACAGATTTTAGACATTGTCTCAGAGGTTCCACTGGCTACTGTGACCAGATCACCTGCTCCTTTTTCCACTTGGGTTTTCCCTGTTCATTCGATGTTGTTTGAGATGTTGCTATAGGGACCACTGACTTGGCTGCCATGTTACCCCAAGCCCACTGACTGTGTATATATGGCTTTCAGACCCACGGTTGCTAGGAGATGCTCCTACAAGCTCGAAATGGTAAACACATGGACACATGCAACCCTTATGTGCACACACAGCATAATTTCAAATGCTGATGAGCATTTGGAAAGATGTTTGCTTCTGCTGGTATGTAGAGCTCTTAAGAACTCATATGTTTAAAAGCTACAGTATGCTCATCGTCAAGCTTCTATTAAATTGTGTTTTTCTTGTCAGATGATCACTTTGACACATAACATTTGTTTTGGTAGACACAAGACTTAAATAAAATAGCAAAGTTAAAATTCTAAAATCAAAGAAAGTGATGTTTAAAGCAGTGTGCACCATCATTAGCACTGGTCAGATGTTCACTCCCAGTCTGACTTCTGACATCCTCATGGGGGCCAAATGTCAGTCGACAAACAAATGAGCACAGAACACCTTAGAAAGCCATATATAGTGTAAACAAACAACAACTTGTATAAACTGTGTACATGCGAGTGGTTATAAGAAGCTATATAAAACTTCACATATCAGATAACCACGTCTCAGATGGAATGCGAGGGCAGATAACTGCAAAGGAAATGCCTGAGGACTGGACCTTTTCCAGAGACGTTTCTGTGAATGTTTTAAGACACTAATTTACAACGATGAGCTAAAATAGTCCAAAATGCAACACTGTTTTCTTAATATGCTCTCAAGAGTCTCTGATAATCGAGGACACAAAGTAACGCTGTCTGGAAGGCTGAAATCAGCATTCAATATTTTATGTTTTGCACAATTAAAAATGTAAACGGGATTACTCTTTAGGCAACTGAAAACAATGACCATGCTTGCACAAAAAAAAAAGCCTGATAATTAGATCACCATCTGCTTAAGCTTCTTCTGCTTCCTGATTATCAATAATTACTACCCTCTTTGCATTTTGTTACATAATGCTCCTTGTAGTTGCATAAATGGTTGCTGAAGTCTGAGTGTTCAAAGTGCATGAAGATTTGATCAAACATGAATCTAAAATGTATCTCAAGCTTGTCTTTATATAAAAATCCTAAAGAATGCATTAATAAAACTTGTGATCCAAATTCAGAACTTTGTAAAATAAATTAATTAATAAACTCAGTCCATACAAGTGGAAATCAAAGACTGTCTCCTTGATCCGGCTCCTCTTTCCTAGGTCAGTTTGAGTGGGTGATATTTTTGCAATGTAGGTTCTGAGTCACAGAGGAAATCTGACAACGCTCCCATTCAGTATCTTTGTGATCTTTATTTTCTGAATCAAACCAGCGAGCACAAACAGAAGATGTCAGCTTTGCAGTGTAAGAGTTAACTTGCGCAGCTTTGCCCTCTGGAGAGGGGACCTGATTTTAAATATGAATGGCAAATAAAAACTACACGTGTTAAAGGTTTTTATCCAACTATATTGAGCATTTTATCTTTCTTTGGGATCACTTTCACAGATAATTTTAGTGTAGTAAATTAAGAATTATAAATATATTTTTTTTAAATGTCCCAAAACACTAATTAAAGCCAGAGTCAGTGTATAAAGGATATAGGATCTCTGCTGGCGACCTATTTTTATTGAGGTCATATATGCTCTCAATAGATAAATCTGACTTACTTTATGTTATACGAAGGAGCCACAATCACAGGTGAGCTCAAAACTGAAGGAGGCTCTGGAGCAGCTGCTGCCAACACAACGGCATTCTCAATACAAATCTGAGTGGCAAGAAAACGTGATAAGAGAGCGATAAGAAAAGAAAAGGATAAAACATCTTTATCTTGCTCAAGATTGCTGTACGTGATTTTTCACCTGTTCTGAGCAACAGGCCTTTTTCATAGAAGGAAAAACACACTAGCAACATTAAAAACTGTATTATTCAGATCTTGCAGTGTGGCGTTACAACAGCTTGTGCAAAACTAGAACCCTGAAACCAAAGCAACTAAAATTACTATCCATTTTCTTACCCACACCTGTGCTTTTTTCTGTAAGTTTGATGTGAAAAAGAACTTATTAATATAATGCCACCCCACTGGCCTGGGGCTCCAGGCGGTTTGGGGCCTTGTAGCAGTTGGTAATCCAGCCCGAGCCAAGTCTACAGCACTTCCCATACATACTGTAGCAGGGTTACATCATTTTTAACTCCCCAGGGTGCTCCAGCTATTTGGTATTGCACTTCCAGACATTTTGCAGACAAAAACAAACAGATTGAAAACAAGAATTGTAAATACAAATCAAAGAAGCATGGGCACAAATATAAAAACAGTAGATCTGACCATTCACATGATGCAGCTCATCTTTTATTAGAAGGCCTTTGCCTCTTCTTTATCATCACATACTTCCCCCTTAAAAAGCAGGTTTTGTTTAACGTTTGAAGTACTATCAAGATAACACTGATGACATCAACTGGCCATTCAGGACATTTACAACTTTTTTTATAGTCTGAGTGGTACTCTCATAGTCACAAGTAAACTGAACTTAATATGTAACATATTAAAACAGCAATCACTCATTGAGACCATTGCATACTTCCCTAGTGTGAAGGTGGTGAGGAAAGGGCTCTTTCTTTGTCCTCTGGAAACCTTTTGCAGCTTTGCTTGCAGGACATGCGCAGTGTAAGTGATCAGTGGTGAGTTGTTTTTGTAGTCTAGGTGTGGACTTTTGTCCGTCCAGAGCTGTAGGTGAGCTCTGACACGCAGGGAGCCCGTTTCCCACGCCTTTCTCCCGCGGCTCCTCGTGTCTCTGAGCCGTGCCGTGGAGGAGCAGAGGGGAGGGCGGAGTGCAGCACAGTGGTGGTGGGTTACAGTCCTGGAATGTGCGCGCGCCCCCGACAACTCCGTACCCGTGGGTCACGGCGCGCCGCGCACAGAGACCAGACGCGGGAGCGCGCTCAGCCCGCGGCAGGTCTGGAAGTGCAGAGAGGAGGCAGGAAAACGCTGCTGGAGCGGGGGAATGATGGCGGTGAGCGAGGAGAAGGGACAACTTTGAGACTGTAAAACTGGGACGTTGGGCCACCTTTCGGCGTCTAACACGATGGAGCAGCCAGGAGGTGAGGGGCTGAGAAAGTTGTTCATCTTTGCGCCGTGTTGTGTGTCGGACTAGTGTTAACATTTCCAGCGGCTCGGACTTGAAATGCCACAATGAATTGTTGAGACTGAGACACTAACGTTGGGGCTCATTGAACTGTTGGCCCACTGAGCTGGACTTTGTTTCGCCTTTTTTTAAAAAAAATCTGCGGTTGACGTTGCCAGCAACTCCAGAAGACTTTAACCGGTTAAAAAAAAGCACAATCGCAGCTCACGGTTAATAAAGTTGTCTTTTTGGTAAACAGTGCTGGGTTAGCTTACGCTAGGAGTCAGACAACCACAAACGACTGTGCACGCGATCCAACGTTAACCCTCCAAGTTGCTAGCCAGCAGTTAAAGTTAACCAACTTTTCACCTGTAACTACCTTTCACGCTGTTTTGAATGCAGAAAGGGGTAAAATGTGTGTTTTAAAATGCGTATCGGTGAGAATATTGGGATAATGTTGTCTCTGCTCTAATAGCCTTTACCTTGCCTTTCTCTCTCCAGATGACTTCGCTCCGTGTGTGTAGTTGAGACAACAGTGCTCCAGAAAAGCTCCGCCGGACCCATGGCACCGGTTGCGTAAAGTCCTCGGGGATAATAGTTCACCAACAAACGCTGTAACGCTCTCCAAAAACCGGCTTTTAGAATTGGGCTGCAGCCATAAACAATCAAAATGATCAAAGCGGAAAGCAAAGGAGGCGAGAGGACCCTGAGGAGCGCGTCCCCTCACAGAAATGCATACAAGTCTGACTTTCACGCCATTAAGTGCTCCTTTGATGGGCCCAAATCCGAAGGAGCCTCCAAAACATTTGCAAATGGATCCAGTGACACCCGGGAGGACTCACGGGGAAGGCCCTTTGGGACCAGAGTGAACAAGATAAAGAACATATTCCTACAGATGGATGGTCAGCAACAGGAGTGCCAAGAGGGAAAAGTGACTGTAAAGTCTGATGTGCCCCCGGTGTCTCCACCAAAGATGCAGTTTCCAGTCAACACCCACAGAGTTAGCTATAACAGTGCTACAAGCCCAGAACCACACATTTTAGATAAAACACCCAAGGGGGAAGATGTTGAGATTGACAAAGTGGCTTTGGCGGAGAAGTTTTCTGTGACCAGAAAACTCTTTGAAAGGGGCATCAAAGAGCAGCCCGCAACTGAGAAGCAGTCTCCAAACAGAGTAGTAAATCGCCTGTCCCTCGGAAGTGCCTCTGATGAGGGGAAAAGCACAAGGAGAGAATCAGGATCCTCGGAGCCCACTATCAAATCGGAGCAAACTCCTACATCAACAGCTAAAGGTCGGCCAGATGAGAAGGCTGATGGTGAGAAAAAGCATGTGTCTAGAGTTTCACTGAATGCAGGGCCTATGTCAAAGAGGCTAGAGAATTATATCGTTGAGAATGACTCAGAAGACAACAACACAGCTGCGGCAAAAGGAGGTATGGTGTCTGCTAAACAACACACTACGGCTGAACACATATTGCCTACCTCTCCAACAAGGGACAGCTTACACAAACCTACTTCTCCCCTCAAAGAGGCCACTGACTCATCAATTGTATCTGATGCCACTAACAAAAATAAAGATAACAGACCAATGTCTTTGGGATCCAGTGCTGGGCTTAAACCAACATTCCCAGTTCCCAACGCGGCATCTAAATCTGTTTCTTTAACAGCTGATTCCTCTCACAAACCCCTCCCACCAGAGCAAACCCCAATCAGTCATGGTTACAAGTGCTCCTCGTCATCTGGTGAAGGATTTAGTAGGACATCTTCTGGTGAAGACGGAGGCAAACCACATAGTCCGCCGCCAAGGGATGCGAAGCAGCCTTTACCATCGTCTGGTGGTATTCAAAACGCTAGCAGGGCCAAACACCCTGAAAATGCCAAGAGTTATAACAATGTGGTACATAGCCCCACTGACAACAAGCCACCCAGCCAGACCTCGTCATTTAACTCCAGAGGGGTGAGCATGGTACGGGCTGAACTGGTAGTGGTTAAGAATGAGTCCTCAGAGAGTGAGGAGAACGAGGACGTTGAAGATCATGTGTTTGAGGAACAGAAAGTGCAATGGCGTAAAGACCTACAGCCTGACCTGAAAAGTACCTCTCCGCCACAAAAACAGAACTGTGCTCCGCAGGTCATATCAAGAGATGACACAAAAGAGACACAAAGGATAGCAGAGACTGTGGGTGAATATAGGGTTCTGGAAGATAACAAGGAATTTGGGCTGAAAGACAAGAGACCGGAAGACAGTTTAGTTGTGAGCCAGGATGGTGAAGATGATCGTGATGAAGATGATGAGGCAGCAGAGGAGGACGGTGAACTGGAGGATCAGGAGGACAGAGCCTCTCCAGTCGTGTACGGTATCGAGAACGCAGCATTTGTGGATGACAGGGATGTAGACCAGGTCCTCAGGGAAGAAGAAGAAGAAGAGGAGGAGGAGGAAGAAGAAGGGGAAGAGGAGGATGAGGAAGATCAAATGTATAGGGAATATGATGACTGCGAAGAAGAAGGGGAAGAGGAGGATGAGGAAGATCAAATGTATAGGGAATATGATGACTGCTACGAGGCCCCTGGTCTGTCGGATGAGGATGAGCCTCCCACAAAGAGGAAAATCAAGTTCTCCACAGATCCTATTCTGGTAAGTATGTTGTGTTGTTTACAGCTGAAGCACTGTTGCTTAACTGAAGCACCTGAAACATATTGCACAACACCATCATTAAAAACCACTACACTGACTCAGCAATGGTGTCTGACCGAGGTGTTTCCTTGCAGACACAAGACAAATTAGTGGAGGCTGAGAATGAATGCTTTTGTCGGGCACACACGTCACAGCTGCTGCACCTTATCATCATCAGACAAGCTTTGCCACAGTTCAGAAAATCTAAACTATGCCTTATTTAATCTTGGTGACCAGGGAGGCAGGCAGTTTGACAGCTTCATCTCGTTAATCCTGTGAGAGAAAAGGGAGAAGTTTGGGGACAAGAGGTAGTACTGTTGTTGATGATATTTTTGGAAATAATGTTGACTTTGCATAACAGCCTGTGAGAGCGGGGCCACAGCTGAACCATTGCTGCAGTGAGTTAGACGCATGTGAAACCTAAGACTGTACAGTGGGAAATCATGGCCACCTCTGAGTCAGTGCACTGAATGGATATTTTTACTCATTTACGGTGGTTCCCCTCTGATCATGAATTAGTTGTTGCGCCCTTGAGGGAGTTTTCTTTTCTGTCTAACATGCATACAAGGAATCCAGGGATTTTTAGTCACCCATATGATCTCTTTTGCAGACTACAGCTAAGTTATCTTATTACCACCAGAGAAATGTGTTTTTTGTATTCGCTAATCTATAGGGATGTAACTCTTTAGTGAAAAGCATTATCACTTCATTGAATCTAGAAGAAGTCCTACCCCTGAGCAGGATGACTTTGACAGATTAAATAATATTACAGTATTTTTACTGTTTCTGTACTTTTATTGTAATTGTTGGTCCTACTATACACCTTCCAGTCTCCGGTAGGGATGCTTATAATTGTGTAATAGCAGTCAAATAAGTTTGGAGAAGAGTACAGAATAATGCAAGCTTCAAGAGCGGAGATATGATAGGATTATGTTGGAATTTTACTTAAATGAAAATGATTGTATTGTCATTACGATATCTATGTTACCTATTTTATGTATCGTCCCTATTTTGCAATGTTGTTTTCTAGTCTGGTGATCTGTTTTGGTATTGCCACACATCGCCATCGTAAACATTGCCAACCGGTGTTTAAAGGGGTGTGGTGGGAGAAGAAGTGATAATTTCCACCACTGATGTTCCACCATCACCATATCTAATCAACATTTCACTAAAACTGGGAAAACAAATCACTTCAGTGCATTCCACGCTGCTTGTGAACAACTCAGTGTTTATCCAGGCCTTAAAATGTGCTGTTATCTCAGGGTGTGGATCCCCCTCCCCATCCCAGTCATCCTGGCAGGGGGTCCTGGGAGAGGGGACCAGAAGCTGACCTGGACTGAAGGGGACACAAACAACAATGTGTTTCATCTGGCCAAAGTGGAGCTATGACAGAGTTAAAACAGTTTTATAGCCACATATCACAACAACATGCTAGACTGTGTCCTCGCAGTGTCATTTCACGTACTATTCAAAACTACAGTGAGGGGAAGACCTTCTGCAAAAGAGACAAAGCTGATGCTAGGTTGTGTTTGTCGATATGTGAGTTTGTATAGATGTACATCCCTACTGCTGGTTACAGGACACTGTGTCTGTAATGTTCATCCCATTCATAGTACGCACAGTGCTACTATTGCTATTTGCTGTGTAAAAAAGTATACATAAAACATGGACTAAAGTGACAATGATGGTCCTGGAATGTAGGGCAGCAGCTGATTATTACTTTTATTATAGATGTAATGTGGCAGTTTGTTGTCTAAAATAACAATTTAATGACTTGGTTTACAAAATATCAGAGTGTTACGTCTTGAATTCCTAGACGAAGGTAATATTTGAATTACTTGTGAAGTGTGAAGTTTTGGGTTTTTTTCATCACGTAATGCATACAAAGGCAAAAGAGGACAGACAGATGAAGTGAACGTAGTATTACTCTGCTTGGTAATAACTTTGTTCCATTAAAAACTTCCCCATAAGTCCACTGCAAATCTCTCTAAAACCAGAGCTGGACAAACCCTCAAAACACAGGCCAAAATATCTGTGTTTTTAAAAACGCACTCGACCTGAATCTGGCAGCAGTGGCAAAGATGTTAGAAGCTCTGCTGCTGATAGCGGGGAAGCTAGTCCTGGCCTGAGCACTAGCAGCTCTCCTGCTGATGATGTTATAGCTGCACCCCCCCTTATGAGCACAGACTTTCACCTGGCTCTGCAAGAACAGTGTTGAAATGTTGATGTAAAGTAAATAAAAGTGTGCACTTAATTGAAGTCCATACAGTACTAAGACTGAAAACAAACTCGAGGTAACAGCTACAGAGAACTCATCGAATATAACAAAACAACGTATACCTGAAAAAGGTTCACTCGCAGTTGGAATAAAAAGGGACAAAAGAGAAGCTGACAGAAAAAAGCAATATCGGCATCTCCAGCCCTTATGCTACCCGGTTGCTGTGAGAACGTATGTGAAATAGTGGAGGATATATATAGTGCAAAATGAAACAACTTATCCCAAAATTACACACATTCTTTTTTAATGATTTTTTTATGGAACTGCATTAATGGTTGCATGCATTGGACAGGCTGGGTAGAACAAAGATGTGTCAAAACCATGACATTTACCAGAATTAGGAGTATGGGGTCAAGGTTAGGTGGTGGGGGTGTAACGCAATTAAGTCTCACAGATGTCCCTCAGCCAACATTTCTACCTGTGGCCTGGCTAAGTAGTACCTCCTGCTAGCACTACATCATTCTCCACAGTCTGCTAGTCAGAGCTGAACTGGGAGTGAGCACACTGGAGTTCTAGCTGACTAGAAGAAGGAAGTGCTTTGTGCTTCTGGCTCACAACAGGATTAGGTCCCTAAGTAACCCGAGTCTTCTTGACAGAGGAGGTGTCCAGTGTGGAAGAAAGGTCTCCTTTGTGAAAATAAAGGAGATGTCCAATTTCAACATGTATCGCCCGTCCAAGAGTTGAAAAGAGAAAGTTGGATGAAGAGAGCTTTTAAGTCAGGCAGTCCACAAATATTAAATGTTTATGGTTGGCTAATGCATTTAGGGTACTTGATACTCACAGTGTGCAATACAAGAAAGAAAAATGGATAAAATAATTGCATGGTGTTGAAATAGCGCTGCAATTGTTTTATATCTGGTTTGTAAGAAGATGTCTCTGCATATATTGTAACACAGAGTCACGCTTTAGTAGGGCATTGAAATGCTGCATTCCCACTGCTGCTGTGTCAGTATATAAGTTTGTGATACCCTCTGGCTGTATGAGCAGTATAAATGTTGCACCACTGCTTTAAATGGTATCTCTGGTCTTTATAGTGAACAGGTTGTTTCCCCTGAAACTGTAAAGAAACACAGGCCTGTAATATTGGTGTGTCAAGGCATGCACTTATCTGGAAAAACTTTTCAACCTCAGATAACTTTTGCTTAGCATTTTATAGGTTTCTCTCTAAGCCCTACAGTACGGCAAGAAGCCAAGAGTTACTGAATGATTAACGCTCCTTGCTGTAGGTGTGTTATCTGCTTAGGGAAAAAGACTACGTAGTCATTTTCAGGGCAGTTGTCTTGTGTATCTAAAGAATTTCTCATGTGTTCTGTGCGTCATGTTGCACACAAAAAGAGATTAGGAATGATAGTTAAAAACCAGTTAACAAAAACAAGATAATGGTCTTCAACTAGGATCTGCACCTGCTGCTTTGGCCCCACCTCTGCAGAGTTCCAGGAAGTACCACCAGCAGTTATTGGTCAAATGACCGCATTGTCCCTTCTCAAACAAACAGGGTGTGGTTAAGGATTGTACAGTTCGTTGCAACTGAAAGAATTCAGCACATCTTTCTTTGTGTGTGCACTGCTGATAATTACACTGCCCCGGCATATACCTCCTGTTGTTGGATTTTGCTTCCAGTTTGCCTGCAGTAAAGCTTTTGCTTCGTATCTGTACACAGTTCACCTGACTCAGAGCACAGTTTAATGCAAAGCCAAAAAACAAGAGTGCCTTTATGCTCTATTATGTTTCTGTCAAAGTCTTAGAGGTGTATTTTGTTGAGTCAGAGGTTTTGCCATGCTTCATATACTTTATAGAGTTGAATTTAATTTAAACAGAGCAGAAGCCACTGCTCTTCTGTCTATATTTTACATGATTGTAGAACAGGGGCACACTGAATATTTGGATGCAATCCTCGGCAGCCAACCCATCCCGTAGTGTTATGCTTTCCATTTCCTAACTAAGATGGGTCTCCTGCTGAGGAATGTGTCTGCCATGGCTCCACCCTCATCCAACCAGCAGAGAGGATCTGAGTTCCCTCCAGCCACCTGGGCTCGTGGGTGACTATCTGACGAGACGGCACAGAATACTAATGCAGTCGGCTCAATGCTGTTCATTAAACAGCTTGGCATGGGATGAGTCTTAGGCTGATTGTGATTGCCTTAAACTGATTCATTATGTGATTACAGACAAACACATTAGCAGATGCTGTGTATTTTCACTGAAAGTTAACAATAATTGTGGTGAAGGTTTTCGCAGCCCTTGCAGGACAAAAGTAGCTTTTGTGGGCCATTTATAAATAAACCTGTTCAACCTGTTTGTTTGAACTCCTTTTGGAAATTTGATTCCATTATAGCAGTCTGCTCTTTTCAGACTCCACCTTTTCCTGTTGTAGGTCTTGTATTAACACTTTGAAGTTTAAGGAAGGCACAGCAGATATAGACTTTGTGATGTCCGTTGCATTCCATCAGAGTGAACTCTACAAAGTGTTAGTCATTTCAGGAGCATGCACAGGAAGTAATAGATAGGTTTTGCTTGCTATCCTGATCCTCAGGATCTAAAAGCTGGGCCTTGTGCCTTTTTTCCTAATTATTCTGTGATCTGTGCCTAGTCGCCACCCCTGTCCCAGCTCACTCTCACAGCATGTTTTGATTTGTTGTCTTTATGTAGGCCTGCTTACATTATGAGCTCCCCAATCCAGTGGTCAGCCCACGTTTTTTTGCACTGGCAAGAGATTTCTCTGGTTTGCTTTTCCTCACAGCTGCTGACTCATTTCCCACACTGGTATTCTGTTGTGTAGAGGGGAAAGATGGAAAGGGTTTCAATTTGGGTGTGGGCATGTGTACATCTGTGCATGTGAGCACACATACTGAGGACAGACCACTGCAGTTGTAAAAAGATGGATGAAAAGCCCGCACATCTCGCTGACGGATAGTGTTGAAGAAGAAATGGAAATATGATGACGGCATAAAAAGCTACTGATCCGTATCATGGCCTCAGTGACCAGAAAAAGCAATGATTTAAGGGAAGAAATTGGCAACGCATTGAGTGCATTCTGTGATCTCTCATGCATTTTGACGTCAGTTTGTGTTTTCATTTTAAGCATTCTCTGCACTAAATATATTTTGCATATTAAATGAAAACAAGTGTTTAGTTTGATAACTGCAGGCAGTGAGCGGTGCGTAGAGATGTTTTTGTCAGGGAGAGGCTAATAAAGAGATTGATTTCTGTCTTTCTTGCAAAGAAGACAGTCGTTGAGTGATTAGGTTTCAGCAGAGAACAGAACATTGTTTGAAAAGGGCCTAGGAGTCCATGGCAACAGGGAAGTCAGACATGGGAGATCAGGGGAAGGCATGGGGGAGAAGCCAAGCTGCTACTCGGCTAATAACATGGCCCAGGATGCAATGGTGCTTCCTGCACTCGATTAACCTACATTTCAACCCTGCAATTAATGAAGTCTCCTAAGTCTAAACTATGAAGCATCTTTTACTGTTAATGAAATTTCAGTTTGCTCTAGTTCTGTGAATCCATTTTTAGCCGTATAAAATTAAAGCTGACACAAGACATGCCTCATTTGTTTAAAATGCAAGCATGGCGAATATGCCTTCAGTAGTTTTTGGTTAATTTAGAAAATAAAGTTGAAATCTGAAGTATTATGTGCAGAGGCCTTGCTTTTGTGTTAGAAAGATAAGACTGAAGGGGAAAAAACAATATATGGTTGTGGGGGACGAAACAAGGAGTTATATATTTTAAACCAATGGCAGTAAGCTTGTTTAGTGTGAAAAGAAGAAGGAGGATTTGGAACGGAGGACTCGCTTGGGTTGATGGAGGGTTAAGGCCCCCTGAATAGCATTCCTGCCTGAGCTATGGAGCTGCAATACTGTGCATAATCAACCAGTATCTAATCTTCCTTCGTTTGGGTTGGTGCACTTCATGAGTGGGCAACCTGTAAAGTGTACGAAATCACCACATGTCTTGTTAGCCAGATAACACAACATGATTCCACGCTGATGAATGGGTCTGATAGTCAGTGGGGTTTTGTACAACTGAAATTGTTGTAGTAGTTCACTTTGACGGATTGAGCATAGCTTAGTGAGTTATTCTGGAAACTTACTATCTGCACTGTTTTGGGCTTCATCCAAAGACTACATTGTGAGGAGACAGAAAGACAGGGGGGAGAAGGGGATTGTTTGTGGTTGAGTCCTCAAGTCTTGACATGCAGCAGGATCTAGACCTCAGACTGTGTTGCCCAGCGTGGAAATGTTTACTTGATTACATCATTCAATCTCACGGCAAATGTCTCAATCAGTCTGAGTCTAATCCTTTGTTGTTGCTTCGTTTCTGTGGTCAAAAAAGGAGGAAAATATGTTTCAGATATTTGTTTAATTGTAGTAACCACACATTGCCTTCCTACACTCTGTACAGTGAGAGCTAAATGGAACGCGACTCAAAACCTTTGACAGACATGGACTTATGTTTTACTCTATATCCAAAATTGTACACCAGACTGTGATGTGCTTTCTGACTTCTTAATGTTTTGTAAGCTTTGCAAGCTAGTTTGTGCTTGTTTTTGTGTTTTGTATACAGCTGTGTATGTGGTCCTTGGCTACGGAGTTAACGTTCTAATAACATGCTGGTGACTAATTTGATTGTGCAGATTGATGCGTGTTTCATCAAAAAAAATGCAGATCAAAAATTCATGTGTTGAAGTTCTTCAAAAAACTATATTTGGAGTATAACAAATAGAATTCATTTATTGAAGCCTGAAGATAATAACAAAACATTTTGAATTTACTTAATTGTGGCTGGTCTGTATACCCAGTATGTGCTATCAGCATTAGTGACAACTGTCTTTTCCTTTTCTGCCTCCTTCTAAAACACACCAACAATCCGATAGCCACCTGCCAAGTTTGACTTTTCATTTTCTACAGCAGCCTTCCTGTATGCATGCTGTAACCTTGTCCACTGTGCCCATTGCATCTTCTGTGTGGAAAAGGAATATATTTTAGTCAAAGTTCAATATAAGTACTGCTGCTTTCTTGCTATTTATTCATATTATGGATTCTGCCTGCACCTTAAATCCTTTTTGACTTTTGTTCCGTTTAATGTCACTGAGGCAACTCTTCAGTTTTTGCAAATCAAGTAAAGTAGAATTTTGCTTTTCACTACTTGTAGGCTCATTTTAGTCAAATTATTAGCACAATTGTTATTAATTGAGTCGGTGACACTTATATGACGCCTGATTTTGTCATTAATGGTGATGATCATGACTCCACCCAGATTAAGCTTTTTAATGATCAAGCAGGGGGTTTATGTTACCGACCCACTGTTGGGTTCATCCCCATAATCAGGCATTATCCTCCGATAGAGTCTGCTAAACTCTAATCTACTTTTTTTTTTCTTCATCAACAGTGCTTAATGTATCTAGTTTTTTAAAAAAATTGAATTTTCTTAGTTCATTTTATATATATTCTGTCTGACAAAAATGTCACCATTCCACAAAGTAGAGATAGTTTTTTATTACAGCTCTAGTGGAACCTTGTTTCAATACAGAATGAACTACGCGCATTGCAATAACTGAGCTATCACAGCTGCTAATCTCCTGTACATTTTATACAGAGCATAATGGTGCTCACTTTGTCTTGACCCTGTGTTTTCAGACTTGGTTATGAATACCTTTAATGTTTGGAAGTATCAGAGGTATTCAAGGCAAATAGCAAGAGTGTTGTACGTTATCAGTCCTGAGGCTGTTTCGGAGCACTTGATAATGCCTGTTGACTGCATGTGTGTCTTTGTATTGCTCTTTATTCTATTTCTTTTTACTGTGCTGATGACAACACTTGTCGCCTCCGAATATTGATCTGCATTGCATCCACTGCTTAGCGCTCCACAGCTGTGCCCTACTTTCCACGCTGCTCATGATTTGCCGTGCATGTGCGCGCTTGATAATTGCAACCAGAAAACAGGCTTCAGGACACTTCAGTACTTTGTGAAGCCCGCCTGCAAAGTTCACAACTTCTTCAAACTATGATGAAATTCCTGCAGAATATATTTTGGGAGTGCATCTTCTGCTTCAGAGTCACAAACAGTTAGACAGCTAAAGATTTAGCAGCTTTCTGTCCTCTGCTGATCACTGTGAGTTGAAAGGCCTAAGTTTAATAACTGTCAGTGGTCCCAATCATCATCATAGGGTTCTGCTGCCCTTTAATAGCTGTCAAAGTGTGCTTCAATAGTGAACTGGTGCCTCAATATGCTTAGCAAACGCCCAAAGTATGCATGAAATTCTCCCTCCCTATGCAATGTCAGCCAAATCAAAAATGTGTCCTTGTTCAGGTTTCTCAGATTTAAAAAAACAACTAACTCAAATGTGAAAATGATATTGTCTGTCCAGAGTCTGTATATACTAATCAACAATAATTAGCACATAATATTAATGATTAAAAAGTACTGTACTGAAGCTATGTACTTGATATTTTGACCAACACAGGTCTTCAGCACCTTCTCTAATGAGGAATATGATCGACGCAACGATGATGTTGACCCGGTTGCAGCATCAGCAGAGTACGAGCTGGAGAAGAGAGTGGAGAAGATGGATGTGTTTCCTGTGGAGATTGAGAAAGGTGGGTTTAGGATGACTGTGAGTATTAAGCCACCAGTGAGGAGTCAGATAAAGCAGTGGTTCTCAAACCTTTTGAGCCACGACCCCCAAGATATCATAAGTTTGTGTTCTTGACCCCCCAATTTGAATTTGTTAATGTATCATGATTGATAACTTTGTTGTTCGTGCATTAATGCGTTAAAAAATAATTTGTTAATTCCCCAGATTAATCTCTTTACATTAACACGTTAATTTTCTTTTGAATGAATGAATGACTTAAATTTATTTTGAACAAATGAACAGGAAAAAGAATATAAAAACAAAAGAAAATAATTTTTAAAAGAGCAATTTAAAAAGAATGATAATATCACATAATCAGATCATAATATTAACAAGTTCAAAAAAGGAGTGGGAAGAAGTATACTCTTTTAAATGTAGGTTTTTTTTAAATTATTTTTTAATGTTTTTTTTTTGTTTTTGTTTTTTTACAATGATCTGGCGACCCCCTGAACTTATCTTGGGACCCCCAGTTTGAGAACCACTGAGATAAAGAGTAGAACATGTTTTGCCTTACAAAAGCCAGCTGTTTATGTCAGGAGATCAACAATCAAATGATGGCGTTCCACACATAGAAAGCTTAATCTGCATAATGTCTTTACATCCAGGAGACAACGGGCTTGGTATCAGTATCATCGGAATGGGAGTGGGAGCTGACCAGGGCCTGGAAAAACTTGGCATTTTTGTGAAAACCATAACTGAGCAAGGAGCAGCTGAAAAAGATGGACGGTGAGTTACAGTGCCACACCCCCACTCCCCATTTTTCACAACTCGACACTTCAATCCCAAGAAAAGTCACTCGTAAAGTTTTTAATATAACCAGAATTGTAGCACATGCTCTCTGTAGACTGCACCACAATTGGTTTTGATGTCACACACTAGGAATTCCTCATTCCCCAAGCGGCATACATGACACAAACAACCCAGTGTATTTATATCCTCACAAGGAAACTACAGGAAATAGTCTTGCTTCTTATGTTTACCAGGAATTATTAGATTTCTTTTATTGCCAGCTGCATCGAGGCAATTGTCTCTTTACTACGCTGAAGGGGGTCAATAAATGTTCAGTGGAAGTGCTTTGAAATCCTTCTCTTTAATCACTATGTTCTGTCTTTTCAGCATACAGGTGAATGACCAGATAGTGGAGGTGGATGGTATTAGTCTCGTGGGAGTCACCCAACTGTTTGCTGCTACAGTGCTGAAGAACACCAAAGGCACTGTGAGGTCAGTTCAAAGCCCATCTCCTCAGTCCTGAACCTGGTAGCTGTGTCAGTTTATTTCATGAGAGTTCAGGGTTATTGTCAGGTGGCTCTTTTAGGGGAAAGAGGCTACACAAAATAACGTGATATGTTGAATATGTGTTTATTTTGAGGGAATCAAGCACCTATACATGACAAGGTGAGGTCTAAAGTGCATCTCAAAATTTGCATTTCCTGGTAGTAGGTATCAAAGGCATAACAGAGACTCTACAGTTGGTTTGCCAAAGCAACATGTAAAACATGACAATCAATGGTGCCATGCATTTTTTAAAATAGGTTCCTGATTGGTCGGGAGAAGCCAGGAACACAGAGCGAGGTAGCCCGCCTCATAAGCGAGACACTAGAGCAGGAGAAGAACCAGCAGCAGCACCAACACCTGGATGACCCCTATGAACACTCAACAGAGGAGGTGAGTCAGCTGGTCATCAAGACCTTCAAGGGCTCAGTCATTGCTCATCCTAGTGCCTTATTCATGTCATATCGGAAGGCAGGGATGTGAATGACTTCAAGAGTTCACATAATCAAGACAGTTGTGTGATTACAGAGTTGGGCACGTTAGCGTTACAATACTGTGTATTTAAAAAGTAGCACTGAGTTGGATACATCAGAGCTTTAGCCAAAAAAGTAGTATTTACAAGTTAGGAGCTTTGAATTATGGTAATGCTGACATGACGTAAACACAGTATTAGCGCCTTCGCCACTCCCAGTCCAATCCCACTCGGCTCAACCAGGAAATGAGCAGCTGGCTGTGAGTAAGCCATGTGTCACCATTCTGCTGTGTTGGAAAGTGTTCATTCAGCCGCCATCTGTCTGCCAGAGTTGTGAAATGTTTGCTTTCTGAAGTTCAAGCAGCCACAAGCCTCTGCTTTTGCCATAGACTGGGCAGAGAGTATATGTGGGATTTACTGGAGCAGACAAAGACAAATGAAGAAACTCGTAATTTTCAGCGAGGAACTTGTAAAAGATTGTAGTGGCTCTGTGGGTGTGTTGATAGTCTTGTTATCCACCGAGAATCTTGTTCATGTTAATTGTGTTTAATGCTACAAACATTCGTAGCCAAACTCCTGCAGTGTCTCCTGTGGACCAGCCTACTGATATGATATATTGATTACTGCGTTCCTTCCAGACTGTGGTGAATACTGGGAGTGCTGTTGACACATGCTGAGCATGTTCCTGGACATGGAGGGGTGTGTTAGTGCTCACAATATGTGATGCCATGTGTGATATCATATTTCAGGAGGAGCGGTATGAGGAGGAGGACGGAGTGGATGAGAGGATTCTAGGGTCCAACTTCTCTCCAGGGCGGAACGTAGAGGTGTTTGACCTGCCAGTTTCGGAGGCTTTGTTTATGCCGACCAACATGGACAGCTCTCAGATGGCCTTCAAGTTTAAAGAGGTATTACGCATTAATATCAGTTAATTTCCAATTCATGTTTCAGTATTTTGTTTAGATAACAAAACATTTTATTTTCATTCTTCCTTTCTTCTTATAGCTGCAGCTTAAACACAGCATTGCCTCAGCCGAAATAAATCAACTAAAGGAAAAGGTATGATAAAGATATTTCTGTAAAACACAACAGAAATACAATACTAACATAAAACTGTAAACAACAGAGTAAATGCATAAGTATAATAAGTTTACCATTAGTTATACTCCTATGTATTCGCCCGCTTGGTGTTTGAAATGTTAATTTCTTACTCTTTGGAATTTTAACTAATTTGTCTTTACAGTTACTGATAATTATGAAGTACACATTTGTTTGAAAAGCCTTTTAGCTGTCTGTTCATTTAAAATTAGCACGATTCTAGCTTTGATTGAACTTTGTTTTGATGCACTTACATTTGGTTGCTGAAGAAAAAAAGGGTCACACTCAACAGACAGTCTGTGTGACCTTGTTATTTTAAATCAGGAATTAACACAACAAGTAGCACACAGACTGTCTGTCTGATAGCCAGTGACTTAGCTGCTGAACAAATACATTTTATCAAAGCAAAGTAACATTTTCCCATCTCTGCACAGCTAAGGTCATCAGAGGAGGACAAATCGTTGTGGGAAGCCAGGGAGTCTGCACTGGAGCAAAAGATTGAGGATAGCAACGATAAGATCCTCAAGTTGGAGAATTACTGGCTGGAAGCCCAGGGTCTCTGTAAGACTGTGAATGAACAATTAGCTGAGACTCAGACCCAGTATGAAACCCTGGACAAGAAGTACAACAAAGCCAAGAAACTGCTCAAGGACTACCAACAGAAGTGAGTTTGTTGTTTGTTGCTGTGTTGCACAATGCTTCACTGTTGGTGAAGGGGTTAGTGCTGTTGAATGCACTCAGGTTTATTCATATAGCACATTTTGAAACAACACATTGATGTAAAACGTTTTTTCTTCAAATTAAAAAAAAAATGTTTGATATTATTTTAAAAAAATCTGAATTAATGATTGTCTAAATGGTTACATGTAAAAGGTACAGTAGGCAGAAATACATTCAGTTGGATAGACCGACTACAGCAGGTCATGCAGTCCCGGTAACATTTCTTCAGATCAGTTGTGTATACAGATATCTAAGGTAAACTCTTCTACATTGTGGGTGCAATAATAGAACATGCTTGGCCACCGTTAGACTTTAATTGAGAGCAAGAAATATACAGTAGTGCTCAGTCAGGAGACCTAAGAGGCCTACAAGCAGAATGGGGCCAACGAGTTTAGAGTTACAGACTGATGCCAAACCATGCATTACTAAAATGCGAAGGTAACCAGTGGCAGTTAACAATATGCACTGTTAATTATCCAACAGAGGTCTTTGAATTATCTTAATGTCAGTCTGAGGACGCCTTTAAAAAAAAAATCGTATCTCTCTATTTGAAAAGCTTATATGGTGCTGTGGCGCATCTCAAAAGCTGACTGGAATTCCTCTAGAACATTACTGTGGTCGTTGTTCTCCATTTTTTTCTTTTAAAGTCTAACACTATTTTTATATTTTCTAAGAATATGTCAATGCAATTAAATAATTGAGTGATAATTACACAGAAGTAAACATGTTTACAAGCAAAAAGCCTAACGAGAACTGCATTTCCTTGTTTTCTCCCCAGAGAGATAGACTTTGTTAAAAAAGAGGAGGAACTGAAAAAAATTCTAGATGAAAAAGACAAGTGGTACAAGGAGCAGCTGGAGAGTTTGCAGAACAGGGTAAGATTTCAGCTCGCAAAATAAATCCTTGTACACCGGCAGACTTGCAAGACGTTGTACTGAGCCTGAGTGTGATTGTTTTGTCCACAGATAGCTGCCCTGGAGTCCAGAGGGGCTTCAGCTGTGGAATGTCAGAGTGGTCAGGACTCTGCTGCAGAGGAGAGACTAAGCAGCCAAGACTCAGTTACCAACACACAGTCTGTTGACTCACTGCAAGGTGCGCTGTGTTACTAAAATTACATTTAAAACGGAAGTACACACCTTCTGCCATTACTGCACATGCTGTAAAACATTCATAAGTACACATCATAAACTAAAGTAAGCCTCTGTAAATAATTAAGCGATGATAGAGTGTCTAATGACTTATTTGGTGTGCATTCAATTTTTCTCTGTAATAGAACAAGATTGGACTGAGCTGGTCCCTGAAACTGAGCGCTTGGATACCAGTGCACACAGAGCAAAAGGCCTGCTGGCCCAAAAGGCCAAGCGTCAACCTCCGTCTCGAGGCAAACTGAAGGAGAACCTCACCGTGGCTTCATGTCACTCTCAGGTCTGCCAGCAACAGCTTGTGATAATGTTATTTGCATAAATAGCTGCACCAAAAAAATCCAGGTTTTGTGAGCATATCATTGAGTTGAAGAATTACTCTCCAAGGGCTCAATACGTTTCAGTTCAATTCAGTTTTATTTCTATGGTGCCAGTTCATAAGTTGACTCATCTCAGGGCACCACACATAGAACCAGTTCAGGGAGAGCAGCTGTCTTCCTCGGCTGGCTGGGGTGAGGGTAAAGGGGAAACCATTCATGCTCAGACTACCTGTCTCATAAGTGACAAACATGCCTCCCATATACAGGAGGACAGAGCACTTAGTAACTTCTGTTGAAGTGTTTGTGAGCAAACCAACCACAGTAAACAGAGTGGGACTTTATGTTGTGTTGGCAGCTGTCTGCTACTCCCTCATTCACTGGACAATCTGCCATCGTTCAAGTTTTTAAAAAAAATCTGTCAGGGAAGCAAGTTTGCAGGTGTGACCTACTGTAGTGCTTTTAAGGCAGTGCTTCTTCGAAAATGCACAAGTGTCTGAACATTGCCACAGACTCTAAAATACAATAGAGAACATCCTTAAATATTTTTTCTCTACAAAACAATATTGCATTCTAACGAAGCAGAAAACAGCAAATCAGAACACAGGAGCAGAGCTTTCTGTTATATAAATAGCTTTTATTCCCTCTTCCTTGCATTGTCTTTGTAAATAATTAGCTTGGTGTCTACAGGAAACTGAAGAAGAGGAGGAGCAGGAGGAGCAGGAGTCTCCCAGGAGGAGGAGGAGGTCCATCCAGGAGAGCCTGTCCCTCCCAGTCCCCGTCTGCTATCCAGGCAACGGACAGAAAGAAGATCCAGGTGAGACAAGAGATGGATCCAGGAATAAGGCAGAGCTTTCCAGCAGCCCGTCTTTGTCACCGTCACAAGGAGACAGTGTTGAAAGCAGTGGAAGTCCCTCTTTGTCCCCTCCAAAGCACAGTTCTTCACCACATTCCCCGTCTGGTTTCATGCGCAATGTCAAAAAGAGGGAATCCAAAGGCAAGGGCAAAGAACTCAAAGGTACGCAAGGCCCACATGTGATATCTGGAATACCAAGGCTTTCTCTGACATCGTTACTGAGACTGATAATCATTGTGTCATTGCAGAGGAGTTAAATGAACCTTCATCAGCAGGAAAATCTAAAAGACGATTTCCAGACTTTGGGCAAGTATTCAAACTAATCAGTCTTATTTGTGTTCAAGTTCTCACCGTTTATCTTTTTTACTAACTGAATGTATGTCACTGATGATCCAAACAGGGGCCTCCGAAAGTCAGGTGGCAAAGGAAAAAAACATGACAAGGAGGCGATGAGAGCATCTTTGGACAGCAGGTATTTCATCACTCGTATTATTTAAAGAACATTATTTTAAAAAATCTAAACATAATTCATATTTCAATGATTTGTGAGTCATGGGTTGTGTTTCAAATTTTTATGCACAATTGATGTTGGAATTGTACATGGCTACAGTGCTGTAAATATTGCTAGATTGTGCTGCGGATATGCTGGAAAATTCTTAATGGTTTGTTATTGGGACGAGTATTATTGACTTAATAGATAACATGGCATAGACAACAATATTTGCGAAAGTTCCGTTGATGCTTTCTGTGTCTGCATGTCTACAAGCGTACAGGTAGCATACATTTTGTCATCCGATCAAGTCCACAAAGATCCACATGAGCCCCTCTACGCATGTCTGCAGCCCAAAATGTGTGCCCGCAAATGTACGCTCATGTTCCAGGAAAACACACAGCACTCAAAACAAATTCTTGTTATGAGAACAGGCTGGGCTAGGAGGCTGTCAGCCATCCACACCTTTAAAGAGCTGTAATTGAAGTAGCACTGATGAACTGGGGAGGTGCTTTGATTTATACATGCTTTCCATCAGCAGCGCCAAAACTCAGTAGCAAATTGTAAATTCTTCATAAATCCTGTGTTGTATCTGGCAAGCCTTTCAGAACCATCCACAAGAGCTCTGTGAGTTTTTCTATGTTTGTGGCAATGTATGTGAAGCATCCTGATATGTCCTTATTGTAGTATGGATGGTACTGTGCGTGTGTCTACATTGGTCTGTGTTTAGCTAAACAGGAATAGCTTTCCTGATTCTTGATGCCAGTTCTTAAAATAGGTTTTTTGTTTCTTCTTTCTAAATCTGGTTCTTATTTAGTGAGTCATTTTATTATGCAACCTATCACATATTGAGTATTCAACTGTAGCTTCCTGTTTTCCTAATTTCCAGGGGGTCAGCGGAGTTACTAGAGGAATCTGGAGGGAACCTGTCTCCTGCAGAGTCGATGACCTCCATCCCCACCTGTATGCCTTTCTCCTGGTTTGGAGACAAAGAGAAGGACAGAGACAGAGAGCCCTCCTCCTCCAGCAGCAGCCTGCCGTACGCTACAAATGAGACCAGCAGTGAGCAAAGCCAGGATCGGAAGAATAAAGTATGAAGCTTTCTGTATATTTATGTGAAAATAAATACAAGATGTAAAGACAATTTGTACAGAGCACAGCCTTAATAAGAGGAGTCTGTACTATTTTACATAAATGAGACTGAAGTACAGCATCATTGGGTCACAAATGTGATCTCAGTCTTTCAACTCTCCTCATGACGACTTGGTCAGCTGTAAAACTGGTGTCTATGCTTCAGTATCACAATTTATAACACTAACCGAATGCAAAACGGATTTCATGTTTCCCGGCCTGTTCCCGAAATAAGCTCCACTTTGCTATAACAACTGGATCCATGTGTTAGCTATCAGAGAGACTTAGCAATCGACGGCTTTTTGGTGACTTAGCAAGTAGTGACACATCAAATGCTCTCAGTGCAAAGCCTGACTGAGTGTCATTCGGGCAGCGGTTGGGCTGCTGTTCCCACGATACTATTTTAATGAGTTCAAGACACAGGCCGAACCAAGAAAAAGGGATTACTGAGAAAATGATTTTGGTTCTTTTGCTGTGTGCTATATGGTATTTTTTTCAGTGCTTTGCTGCCTGAACGTACAATTCTCTGAACCATGTTTCCTTTAAACAGACAAATCTCTCCTGGTCCTCTTTATTCAGTCGCTCATTAGATTTGGTACAGTATGCACACTTTTGTATCACCTTTAATTTTAGATGACATGTTAGTGCACTACTAACAAACCTACTTCTGGATTTGTAATTTCTCACCTTCGACGCATCCAATAAATAATTCACCTTTTTGTAGTGGGTATGAGGTACTGTTTTAGGAAACTGTTGTCTAATTTTCCTTTTATCAACTCTTAGAAAGCCTCCAGGCTTTTATTAGAAGAAAGCAACAAAGCCAAAATTCCTTTCCGGGGCTTGTTGTGCTAGTTAATCAGAAACTGGACCTGATTTCTGTGTGAATTAAACACAAACTGCTACTCTGTCACTAACTTGTCCCGCGAAACCTGTTTCATAGTGTGACACTCACACTGCATTTAAATGAAACCACACATGAGCTCACACTCAGCTGGTGCAACAACCTGCAGGTCTGGATAACATTTCCCTGATTCTAAATTTAGCACACGGTTTAACCCAATGTAAAAACGATCACTCAGTGAATCACATAGCTCACCTGGCATCTACCGGAGTGAAAACATTACCCCATACCTGAGTTTTGTGTGTGTGTGTGTGCCTTCATGTGACTTGGTAGTGTTGTAGTTTAGAAGTTGTTGACGTAGTTGTGGTGGTGGCTTGGTCGTAGTTTTTATCAGCTTTAATATTGTCCTGTATTGTAGATACTGATCTTCCTTCCTTCCTTCCATATAATGAAGATCACAGTCAATCATTTCACATAATCAGACTTGGATTGCTGCCATTGTCATAAGTTTGAATCATTGATCAGCATAATTTTAGGCCTCACAGAAAGCAGCACCACTCTTAACCCTCCTACCTGTAATGTTATGCTTTGTGTGTGCTACTCGTAGTCAAGAACTGCTGTTTGGTGATGTGTGATTTTAGTAAATACGTTCCTTGTTTCCACTTGTTCCAGAGTTTTTCAGTCATAGATGATTCTAGCCCTGCCAGCCCCAGTTCAGACATCTCTGGGTTAGTTGCTGAACCCAATCTGTCTGGGCGCTCACACACTTTAATCTTCTCTTCCAGCGAGGTGAGTGCTCTCCTTGTTGCACCGTCACAAAAGCTGTGTGGGACGCCTTGATGCAGCTGAAAGGGGGCATTCTCACACATGCTCTTTGAGCCTCCCCTTCTTTCATAGCTCAGCTTAAACCATGAATGGAGAGGGAATATAAGAGAGCTGCATGTGTGTGTGCGTTAAAGCGATTTTGTTTTGTGTTGCAACAAGTCTTGTGGCTTAAGTCAGCTGTGATGTTAGTAGTTTGTACTTTTGCTTCTGTAAGAGCTGTCAACTAGCGCTTCATTTCTTTTACAAGCTTTGGCAGACCACAGAACAATGTTGACTGCTCTGCTGCCTGCTTAGTGATGTTTTACCAGCTGTTTTTCTCTCATAGTGGTGTCACAGTGTATGAAGACATTGACAGAATTTCATTGGTATTTTGCTGTCATCGCATGTGTTTTTTTCAGTGCTGGCTTGAGGAATGCTTATTAGCAGAACGTCTACATTGTTGTCTGTTCAATATATGCTGTATTAAGCCCTACTTTTTTACTTAGGTTTAGGCAGCGCTCACAACTTGAACTGCTTACAGCATTGTTCCTCCAACACAAGATAAAATCTCACCATCTGTCATTTAACTGCATTAACAACACTGATCAACACTGTCACACACATACAGCCCAATGCATCACATGGCTGATGAGCACTGCTGGAGTCTATACATCTGTGGATTATGTCTTTTATATTTAGTATTTTTCCATACGCTGCACATGAGTAACAATCTTTAGCACAACATATGACACAGAACAGTTGGACACTAAAAGCCACAAGGTGGTTGACTTTCAGTATCCTGCACAGACATTTCCAGAAGTTTCACAAAAAGTTTTTTAAAAAATGGCAGTGCTCTAACTAAAACAGCAGTATGTTTATGTTAATATCTGTGTGTGATGTCTGTTTTCTTTGTAGACTCTGGATGATGAACCAGTAGCCACAGGAAAAGAGTATCAGTGGCAGAACCGGCCAGTCTCTGAATGGACTAACCAGCAGGTCTGTCACTGGTTGATGGGCATGAACATGGACCAATACACACCTGAGTTCACGGCCAAAGGAGTGGACGGGCAGCAGCTGTTGCACTTAGACAGTGACAAGTTGAAGGTAAAAACAAAAGCAGCCCGTGATAAATGTGAAGTTCATGTGACTTGGCTGTATTATGATGTAGTTGGAATGATTGTTTGTGTTGGTGGTTTATGTTGATATAAAAAAGTGGCCCTCATTGCCAAGAAGTCATCATCAGGCAGTCCTCGTCAGCCTGTGGCTGCCACCTTGTGGCCAGACATTTTTTTGTTTTTTGATTCTGTGGTTTTTCCTTCCATTCTAATACTTGTGCTCTGTTTGTGGGGAAAGACACACTGTTAGGGATGGTAATGAGAGGAAATTAGTGGACGAAACATTGGAGCAAGCAAATTCAGTCTTCAGTGACTTAATGTCTTTATTTTATATGCCAGCCGGGTAAAAGTTATCTTTAAAAGTACACTAAAATTCTAAAATTACCCATTTTTTATGATATAATTTCATTTCGACAACACAATATAAGACAAGGGTTTGTTGAATCTTCCACTTCAATCACCTTCATGTGACTCCAGAGGGCTTGTTTGGTTAAACTCTTTAAACGAGATAAATGAATTGATCAACTCATTGTCTCAGCCTCAGATAACTTGTCAGAAAATGCATTGACAACAATTGACACACCTGATGAGTCGTCCTTTTCTCCCCATTCAAAAACGCTGAAAAATCAATGTGAAAATATTTCCTTTAGTTTGTCTTACATGATAGTGAATGGAGTATCTAATGGATTTGAGGCTGTTGTTTGGCGAAAACAAGCAATCTAAAAACGTGCTATCAGGCTCTGGTAACTTGTGATATTTATGTATTCACCACTGTTTTCTGACAGTGAAGATAAATAATTAATTAATGATGAAAATACTGCTCCTGAAATATGATAACATTATGTGTTCCCTAAATCAATGCGTATTTTTTCCTTCAGGCACTGGGCGTGTCGAGTCAGAGCGACCGTTCAACTATCAAGAAAAAGCTGAAGGACATGCGAAAGGCCCAGGAGAAGCTGGAGAAGCAGAGAGAGAAAAGAGAGAAGGAGGGCCGACGCAGTGGGAGACTGCCAGTCGCTACTGACTCCGTCTGCTGAGGTATCAGCTCTGTACTCTGAATCCATCTCATACAGTTCATCACCATGCGGGAGCCTGAGAGACATTTTTTCTACAACTTCTGGCTCCATGACATTCATGTCACGTTGTTCATGGCAACCACCACAGGACATGACTGTGCCATTAGTAACGCCGCGCTGACTGAAGTGCCAGTTGTCATTTATGTTCATACTGCTTCAGTTTCTTTTCTCATCACAGTTTTCTCCCAAATACTTTATCAAACTTCAGCCTGAACCATTTAAATGAAATGTGGAGAATGTCAAAAAGTTGGGTATGTGACCAAAAAGGTATCCTAACATTTTTTTTACCACTAAAAAGCTAGAAGCTATAATAATGAAAGTCTGCATTCAGATATAATGTAGTTGTTGCAGATCATGCACACATTTACCTATGGAAGTCAAATGTATACTGCTTTTTTTAGCATTTTATATTTTTGCTAATATGATATACCTGTTTCCATGTTCAACCCTTTGCAGGAACGGTTATTGTACAGTTCAGATAAAAGCACTATATTTGTCTTTTAAGCTTCAATGGGCGACAAGGTTTTAAATGTATAAGAAGTTTTATACATGTGCCTATTAACTGCATATCTTTTTTTTTTTTTTTACCTAAATACCATTGTTCATTTTATACTATCTAAAAAGTTTCTACTAAGTAGAATAGCTAGGCCACTGTCTTTGCTGAATGAAAAGCAACAAACAAATCAAGTAGGGACGATGTGAACGCTGCTGTGCTGTCCCGGACTCTGGCTCTGTATCGCTGAGATGGTACCATGATGCTCCATGTAAACGCACACAGCATGCAGGTCTGCTACACGCTAACCTCACCGGTCCATTAGATATTAGGAAGAGCCAATGACAAGGACTTGTGCGAGTCAGGAGCAGTGTCATGTGTGAATGTGAGGCTGAACGAGCCAAACCCAAGTGCTTCCTTTCCTCTTCTCAAGCATGACACCATGTTCTGTATAGAATACGACATGTTGGACTGCAAGAAAACTGTGTTTTCCGTTCCCTCTAAATCGGAGAAACGTTTCTTGGTACATGCAGCATCAATAAACTAATTTTCACTTCATGTGGCTTGTTGGTTTTCTTGTTTTTCCTCAGTGCATCTCATAGACTGAAGAAGTATTAACAGAAACAGAATATTCTCCTTGAGGGTTATGGGGCTGTTTTATTGACATGTTAAAGCAGTACGAGTGTTTCAGTTTATAATTGATCACCAACATGTTTTTGTAGCTGTTACACACAGTTGTTAAGGACTACATAAGCTGGATGATGCTGAATCTTCACTTTTAAAACACCTCAATGTTTGAGTCCAGTGGGGACGTGATCTAAAGCTGTACTGACTGTAATCATTTATTCAAACATCTGCTTCAGCGAGGCATCACTCTGAACACATACTGTAACATTCCCACCAAAACACTTTTATTTTTAATGCTCTTAACTGTCATCCTAAACGTACTGGCGTTACACAGTCGAACCCAAACACAGGGAGGAAATCTGTGACCACGAGTAGCATCAGATACAGTATAGCGACACAAAAAACAGGTTTCCAGCACTTTCATTCTGTCAACACAACTTGCATAAAGCTCTTTTTTTTAAGACGAAAAAATAATCTGTAAAATGTTTGAACTGACCATGATCCACTGCCTGCTGCTCACAACAGAACAAGTTCATCTACAGCTTGAGTGAGTCCAAACAATACAACCACAGCATTCAAACACTGTACAGTATTATACTTTAACACTCTGGAGAAAGAGCTCTCATTCAAAACTGCGAAATCTTAACTGCAAATGAAGCAGGAAGTACAAAAAGCAATGACACAATAAAACATAGCAGCTACACTTTTTTTTCTGCAGCGGATTCCAATCATTCGGTCTGCTACCGTCACCTACAGAAAACATATCGCAAACAGTGCAAAAACGCCTTTGATCAACACTTATTGATCACATTGCTTGTAACTATCACCCAGCGAGAGGGGACAAAAGAAATGTAAAACAGCGATATATTTTTAAAAGCAGCTAATTTTATATCAAGTTTCCCCTTCTTTCAGAGCATCAAATTCATGATACTCACAAATTGTAACAGTTCAGCAAAATAAAAGCTGCAGAATACCCAGAGGAGAAGCCGTAAAGCAAAGTAAGAAGTCACTGTAGAGCAATCTGACATTATAAATACACGTTTGTAGCTTAAAAACAGGCTTTACTCTGATCCAAATGGTATCGAACAAACACCAACAGTTTCAGATTTGTTGTGCTGTGACTTTAAACGAGTCCCTGCTACAAAAGAGCGGAGTGGAATTATGCTTCTAGTTCTCGAAACATTTAAACTGATTAATGATTTTAGCTCATCATAGGCTAAATTTAAAAACAGTGGGACCAGTGTATAGTTTGTCCAGCAGAGAGCAATGACAGCTGTGTCTGCTCTGCACTATTTTGGTCACCATTCTTTAATAACCATACTTAATGACCCTTAATGAAACATTTATGTATATTTAGATTTTGGTTAATACGTCTGTATAAATACCGGTAATAGTCGGTTTGACTGTCATATGTTTGCAGCTACTTGTGGTTGATCCCACTTATTGCCATTTATGTTAAGTGAGAAAAGTGTGTAACTGGAGGCTGCTGCACTCTGAAATGTTCAGCGTAACAAAACTATCATTCCACATGAAATATGTGGCACTAAAACTTTGTTCTTGTAATCTTTTTTTTTTTTAAACTTACTGTACAAATTTTAACGACCATCACACACTCGTTCATTTACAAGGACTTCTCTCGCACGCTTGGCCACACCCGACATTTGCCATTCAAATCTAGAAACTGCGAAATGTCGTCATGTCCTTTGGCTCTTTGCTCGGGACACACCAGTCGTCGGCCTCGTGGATGGTCTTGTAATGTTTCCACGCTGACTTGTTGTACACGGGGAGCCTCTCGATGGACTCTGTGGACAGCGCCTAAAATAAAAAGAAAAGACATTTAAAAGAGGACGTTTTCCCTCTATGTGAGTGACACCACACAGTGCTGCTGTGAAGCTCATTTACTCGTATGTAGATCACAGCATCCGTTCCATAACCCTCCAGAGAGTACAGCTTCAGGTCCCCTTGGAAGTACCGAGCGTAGAGCCGTGAGATGGGCAGGCCGTACCCGTAGCCAGCCTGGAGGAAAATAAAGCAGAGTTCATCTCCGGCTTCGACACAGACACAAAGTAAAACAACAGAGCAGCCTCTTTGATAAAATAGGAATCCTGCAGGAAACTTTTTGTCGGAGTGTGTGAAAGCTCGGGAAAAAGCCAAGCAAGTGGGTCATGAAGGAACTTTGATGCTTAACTTTGAAGATCAGAAGATTTAAAAGTGCTAAAGATGAAACATCATCAGCTATTCATCTTTTATGTCAAAGAAGCCAGCTCTGTGGCAGCTGATGAGGACTGGCGTGGGAGAAACCTCTGGAGGAAAGCTAGGAAGTAGAGCTGGTGCTCATATTTTGTCATCTGATTATGCAGAAGTTTGATCACGGTCGTCAGCGTGACGGCTGGTTTAAACCATTACTTCAAACACGAGGACTGGGTGATGCTGTTGAAGTTGGTGCTGGTTATTTGGATTCGTTGTAAATCTGAATGTCCCACTAGCCCACCATGCTTCATGTCTCTCAACACTCCAGAGATGCACACATAAAAACAACAACAAAAAATGACTAACTGTACTTGAGTACAGTTTGGAGGTATTTGAACTTTACTCGACTATTTCCATTTTTTGTTACTTCCACTACATTTATCCGACAGCATTAGTTACTTTTAAAATAAAGATTATACAAAACAGATTATATATCAAGCTTTTAAAACGCAACACATTGTTAAGATGAATCCAGTGGTTTCCACATTTTTTCCCAGTGTGACGGTGAGTGCATATTTTCAAACAGTAATTTACGCGTCTAAACTTTTCACATGGTTTTATATTAGTAAATGTTGAAATGATCCAATATTTTACCAAGACTCTGATTGGAGAGAAACTCCTTAAACTGAAAACAGATTTCCAAATCAGAACTTTAATTTATTTATCTCATGTCCACTCAGATGTATCTGCTGTTGCTGTGTATGAAACTGTACAGACAGGAGTTCAAACCAGCTTCTCTTCTCGCAGTCCTGCTTCACTATTGATAACCTAATAGTAACATATATAACAATGTACCAGTCAGAGGGACCAAACCAAGACTTTGACTATACCTTATGTACCTTATCTGGAAAGTCAGGCCTCATAACTCACTTCAACAGTTATTTTTAATGTTACTACTCTCATATAAGTTGTTTACATGTTAACTGAACTCGTGAATTGAAAACCAACCAAACAAATCACCAAAAACTCTCCAGGACAGCAGATCCAGCTTTAACAAAGGCCTCTACAACACTCCATGTGTCATATGTCACTGACTCTAAACTACTGATAGAAACCAACAGATAATATCTCACCAACAGCAGATATCCAACTACAATAAATGTCAGAACTACGTAGAAATACACTGAAGTGACTGCATGTCGTCATTTAAATGTGACCTACGGAACAAGTAACCTATTAAAGTCCTGTTTCAAGGCTTGGACTGAGTGAAGTCTGCAAAGTGGGAAAAGTGTTCTCATTCACACAAACGCTGCTGATGACAGATGAAGCACTGACCAGAGGAGCAGCCCGTGAGCCGTCGATGCTCGGCCGGGGAGCCGTGGAGTAGGTGTAGGTGAAGAGGCGGTCGATCTTCCGCAGCGGAACGCCTCCTCCACGATCACTCACCTGAAAGTAACGCACAGCAAGATGAACACGTCCTCATCTAGCAAATACACGAACCGCAGAGGGGTTTTATTGCTTTGGAATTCACTAGATAGGAGTTTATCAAACACCTTGACAGTCAGATCTTCAGTTCCCAGAGCGATACGTGCATGGACGGGAGGATAGTCAATGGAATCTCCATACAACTCCATCGTGGCACGCATGGCGTTCTGGAACAAAATGTTTAACATGAGAGACACCAAACTGCAACAATTGTCCAAATTTAGTGAGAACACACATAATACTCAGTGTTGGCTAATAAATAAGAACAACGTGTGCAAAAGGAGTATTTAAAAAAAGCAAATCTCACCTTAAAAAGCTCAAACACCATGTGATACAAATGAGACGGGACGTACACCATAGTCACGGGTTTTCCCTCGTCTTTGACTGTCAGGACAAACAACATTTGATTAGATGTGTTTAAAACAGGGAGCTCATGTGTATTCATTCATTAATGGTGCAACTTAAACCCTTAATATATGAGAAACAGAAACAAGTGTCCATATTTACCATTGAACTCCTCCAGTAGCAGCTCAGGGGAGTTCATGTAATACCGGTCGCAAAGGTTTCTTGCATTTTCGTAGGCATCTACAAGGAAATGGTTGGTATTCATTACAGAACACATCGAATGCTTAAAAACTTGAATGACAGCGTAGTTTAAAACTGCCCAACGTGTGACTCCCACCTCTGATGACCTCGCTGACTCGACAGTTTGGATCAATGCTGCCGATCTGTTTGGGGTGTGCAGGATTCACCTTCACCTTCCCACCAAAGAGGAGCGCTGGAAGGAAACACACAGTATGAAGGTGATTATCGGAAAGGAAACTAGAAAATAGAAAAAAAATGTAATTCTTATTCCTTAAGGCACCTGAGAAAAAATGTGTCTGCAAGTTAAAGGTTTAACTGGAGACATTTTGATTGCAACTCCATCACCAAGATTTTGCCTCTTTCCCCTCATAGTTGTCTTTCTTTATGGGACAGCTTAAATTCACACAGAGTTGAAAAGTAATGTATGTTTTACGTCTGCACTAAAAGAAAAAAAAAAGGAGCCAAAGAGAAAATACTGTTTCTAAACTACTAAATGCAGGATGGCAAAAGGTTTCACTTTTAAAACTGATTAAATCAAACTTTAAATTATCTTGCACCAAACTCAGAAAGATTAAATTTAATTTGGTTTTTACATTCAAATAGATGAAATTCAACCCCAAAACTTTCAATTCCAATGGAAGTCGTGACCCAGTATTTACTTCATAGTGAACTTGAGGAGGTTTAACTTTTAAAATGGATCCATTTCATCCATAATCACTCAAAGAAAGTTACCCGACAGACTCAACTGAGTTTGCTGGATCATTTCTCAAGACCCCAGTTCACCAAGGAAGCTGTTGCGGAGCTGAGCAGGAAGATTGCACCATCGGTCAAACCTGGCAGTGAAAGAAGTGCCGCTCCATCACCAGAGCTCCAATTGGTGCAACATATTTGTTGTTTCCAAAGGAGGGACGGGAACCTGTTCGTCTCACACGTTTCCACTGTGCCAAGTGTTTAGGGCAACAGTAAGTCTGAAAACCCAGTGTATCGGCTTCTCTTCAACGGGGGCCAAAACCTGATATTTTTCCCCCTGAGGTCCTGACACGATACAAATTTATTCACTTGTTCATTTATTAGAATTTAGGATGCACACACATCTCTGTATTGATTACAGTTGTATTTAATTTTGATTTACAAAACCTGGATTTACTAAACAGAGTCTGACATAGAGACAGATCTTAAGATTAAATCTGGATTTTCTCATTTTAAACCTAGTTTTAAACCTTTTTTAAAATTATGAAACAGACGGTCTAAAGCTGTGCAGTAGTGAGTTGGGCTGGGCTCTCTGGAAGTGTGATGAAGCAAGTTGAAGCTTTCTAGCATTCTAATGTTTTGATGACGTATGAGGGAAAAATCCACTGGAGATGTTGCTTTTCATTTTAGCAACTAAAAAAGTTATTAGAAAATATTTAATAGCAGTCTCAGGGGAAAAGAACAATGCTACCAGGTACCACAACATCCATATTACAAACAAGCACAATCTGTTTGAACTAACAGACTGTAAATCACTATATTGCTATGTCTATATGAACTACATCATCATACGCTGGTAAGTACATAAATCCCAAGACCAATAACAGCAGCACATGATGGCTATAGTCAGGGGTTAGCCAGCCTGGATTCCATGAATATAAAGAACACTCAAACATGCAGAGTTTGCTATTCACACAATACTTCTGGTTACGTGAACCGTGTCCGACAAAGACAAGATGTCTGACGACGCACCATTAAAAGCTGTTGACGCATAAAGCTAGACAGAGTTATAAAGTAATCAGACAGAGTTTAGATATTAATGAGTCCCCAGTTAGATGATTTGCTCTGTGGCTTCTCACTCATGAATAGTCAACAATGCAAATAAGCCTCATAAAGCTAAAGGATTAAAGGATCCATGGTAGCTGATTAACATCTGAGTCTTTCACATGCTAATCATTAACGAGGTAACGTATCCACGGCAGGACATCACACAGGAAGCAGCTGGTCACCAAAAACAACTGTGTGCCTGATGTTTGCTGAAGAGAATTCACAACTCTGCTGGAGAAATGTTTTGTGGGCTGTTAAAGTAAGGTTAAAGTGTCTGGGAGGAGCATTCAGCACAAAAAAAAAAGAACATCACCCAACAGGGGAAGGCTGGTGTAATCAGGAGCAGCTCGCCATCACTGAGAGGAAAATGAACTCCCAAGTTCATCAACGTATCCAATGAGATGTCAGGGTCGCAGTGCACTGACTGAGTAGAATTTGGGTGATGCAGCAGAAACATCAGCATAAACCTGCTTCAAACAGGAAAATGTGTGTTTAGGAGTGACCTGGTCAGACCCCAAACCTTTCCTCCACAGAGATGCAGTGAAATGAGCTCAGGGAACACGGCTGAGCTGAAGCAGAGCTCTCCAAGGAGCAACAATCCTCGTGTTGATGTGATGCACGGCCTCCAGAAGTGGTTGTCTGAGGTCACTGCTGCCAGAGGAGGTTTAACCGGTTATTAAAATTGCTGGTTTACTAACTTGTGCCAACGCAGTGTGTGTTTAATAGGTGTGTTGTGCTTTATTTGCTTAAGCACAAAGTGTTTGTCTGTACTCGTGAAGATCAGTTCAAATTTTATGAGGAAATATACAGAAAGTCAAGTCATTCAAGAGGGTTCATATGTTTTTCTTGCAATTCTTGCATATTAGACGGGATATTCTTTCCTTTCTTTTCTTCCTCTCTAAATTCTTTTCTGCTGTTTTCTAGTTATTTTATCTGTATGACCTTCTTTTGCTCATTTGTCGCTGTTGTAACAGCAACTGAAAGTAAAACATTGTTAATAATAACACTAGAAGAAGAACTAGATCCCTAAAACAGACTATACAAAAAAAAGTTTTGCTTCTTTCTTTTCTAGTTTAACTATATGCAAGTGGACCACTGTTTCTCTTTGCCCTTTAATATCTTGCACGTAAATGAATTTATACGTGTAGATAAGCTACAAGTTGTTTCAAGTTCATCTCTGGGTGTGGTCTGTTCAGTCCTTATTTGCAGTGGAAGAAGTGTTGAAAGGTTGCACGTAGGATGACTTGCTCCTGCTGCTGATGGCCTGGATTTCCAAACAAGTGCACCTACAGCTCATTGGTAACATCAGAAAAATTCCCAACTGCCAAAACAAATTAGAAGAAAACGTGCTCACTGTGCTGGTTGAGCAGCATCCTGATGGAAATCCTGCTCATGTAGAAACGATCCAGAAAATACTGAACATTCTGGCTGACGACCGGGTCGGTGCCGTACGTCTCCTTGTACTCCACAACTCCCTGAGCCATGGTGGGGATGACATCGTTGTGGCGGTTTCTGATTTTTATCACAGCGTCTGTAAAGCTAGTTACAGATAAATGAATTATATGGGGAAAAAATAATGAGCTACTTCAGTGGATAAAACACTGTAAATACAAGAACTTACTCATATGTGACTTTCTCATCATCTGCATTTTTGTCTTTGAACTCAAGGATCTCCTGAAGACTTTGCATATACCTGCATGGTGGAAGAAAAAAAATTAGCATTTTCTCTTTGCAGGTACTTGAGTGTAAGTTAAGACATAATCGAGAACAAGCAGAACCTGCGTACCAGCTCTGGACCAGTCGGACCGATGGAGTCCCCAGTAAGTTGTCTGGCAACAAGTTGATCTCCTTCATAATGTTTGCCAACCTCACAGGTAACTCCTGTCTGAGGAAGGCGAAGGACGTTTTCTCACAGGCATTCTCTGAACCTGGGAGGAGAAAAAAAAATACAGAAATGGCACAGATCCTTTATGGAGGGGTTAACATTTAATTGAAATGTTGTTGAAACGGCAATATGACGCGCAATATCCAAATCACAGGGGAAACTTTTTGATGAAGGTAGAATGTGTCACAAAATATGCTACGGCTTGTAAATTATACTCTCCTGATGTAATTAAACATACTTGTGTGGTACAAACTGCAGCAGTAATCACATCATCTTTTTTTTTTTCCACGGACAGAAATGTAAAAATTTGAATTCCCAACAAAATTGCTACTCATGTCCCAAAACTGTCAAAATAATCACCACAGGTTCTTTTTTTTTTTCTATCTCCTATATTATTATTGCACCAAATGTAGTAATGAATCAGTCAAAACAGACATTTTTTTGTGCTGTTATCTACAAAACAGCTTCTCAACCAGTTTTCCTGCATGACGTATAGAACTGTGAGGTGACGTAAATGTGTCAGAGATAAAAGATGTTATCCATATCACCCACCTCTGGCTATCAACAAGGCTACATTATACTCTGGGAAAATGCAAAGCTGCCTCAGAACCCTGGAGCTCCGTGCTGTTTGATAAATTGCAAAAATGTTTACCAAGTTGCACCACTGAAGAGTGAAATAAACTGAAATGACCAGACCTTGAAGTGGTGCCTGGGTTTATACATGACCTTGAGGCCCTGACGTTTTGCTTTAGTGCCAAAATTAAGTGGTGCAACTTGTGTTCAATCAAAGTGCAATGACAAGAACACACAGAAATCAGGAGGGTATGTATGCCAAGGGTTCACCGGTGGTTTGATGCCACGGCTTCCACTGATCAGAAGACATCTATCCGACTTGTTTTGTGTGAAATTTCATATTCAGATATACTTGTTTTTTTTCATGTAAATAACCCCTTTCCTGCTTTAATATGACTTAGATGCAACTCTACACCACTGCTCCCTCTAGAATGCACTGATCTGCCCCACACATCGCTCCCCGTTTCGTTCGAGCACACCAGCTCACCTACAACTTTGCTCAAACACTGTAAAACTACTCTACAGAGTAATTCAAACTGGCAACCAATTTTTTTAGGAAGAATAATGATACAGAAAGCTTCCTCCTCTCAGTAGACAGGATTGGTTCCTTAGATCTGTTACATATGAAACCCTGGAAGTCTGAATCCTTGTTTCTGATGCTGTGATCAGTACGCTCAATGTGAAAAGCTCAGCCATGGTACCGACTGCTTGTGTCGCTCATCATATGGATCACATGTTAACTAGGTAGAAAGCTTGATCATAAGAGGGGGTCTTTATTTAGTTGTTCCAATCAGGGATCTGATGTTTGACTGTTGTTTGATGGTTGATTACCAGGGAATGATCAAGAAAAACAACACTTTGCTACAAACATCTTTGCATTTCTCTTCTGAAATACTGCAAAAATATTTTTTGTTCAAGTGATAGAAGAAGCTTGTGACAGCAGTGTTTGCTCCCTTTGTCTCTGTGCATATGCATGATTTGCACTTGCTGTGTCTGTGTTCGTGTGTGTGTTCGTGTGTGTGTGTGTGTGTGTGTGTGTGTGTGTGTGTCACGTCTTACCAAAATCCAGAAACTGCTTCATTGACAGAGGGGAGGGTGAAAATTTGGAATAATAGTCAATGTCCTTTCCAATGGACACGCTGCTCCTCAGAAACCTTAAAATCCTCATGTTGGCGCGTCGTCACGTCCAGTTCGTGTCACGCACACAGACGGTTATTATTAAACTTAATCGCAGGTGGCATCCGCAGCACAGCCTCGCAGTTACAATTGGGCTAGCTAACAGATACAGACACTAGCTTGTTTGCTAACCTCAGCAGCTCGCAAACACACTCGTGAAATTAACGTTGTGTTATCTCGCAGTGTTCAGGGATTTCCATGGTGCGCGCTACAGTGCAATGCTTTTAAATTGTCCTTTACTTCAGTGGCTCGCAGCTGAGTCCTCGGAGGAAGACATGTCAACATAGCAAGAGGACGCTGCGGGTACTGAATGTGCTGCTAGCTAACCCAAAGAGTCACAATGAGGTCAAGAGAGTACACGTACGTACCCTTCAGACGCTGTTCAGCTTCCTTTTTAAAAACGTTATTAACCAAAATGTGTTTTGTTAGGCCACTAATTTGTTATTAAATAGCATAAACAAGGGTATATCAAAAAAAAATAAAAAGAGGTATAAAAGGCAAAAATGCAAAACAATAGAGAAAAAAAACCTAATATAGCAAATCAAATTTATAAAACGAATATTTAACGTTTTGTTTTGGTGTGAGCAAACCTAAATGTGAGAAATGAATTAGAAAGCATTTTATATAAATAAATATAATTAAATAAATAATATAAATATATATAATAAACTAAAAAAAAAAGAAAAGAAAAGAAACTGTTGCTTCCGCTTGCAACTATACTCAGTCTTTCCATCAGCCTCTTTTCTGTCTTGTTTTACGCTGAGAAACTGTTGTGATATTTGACAAAGACAGAGAGTCTTCTGTCTCATTTACGCGTATATTTCAATTAGCTGGTTCACAGCAGTCTGTTACTTTCGTTTCGATCGTTATCAGCAGTCAGCGCTCTGCGAACTATCTTGCTTATTTACTCTTCGGAAATTGAGAGAATTGTTGTTCCTGATTTATGTCTGTCAGGCAGCCTGTCTACCAATCAAATTTCATCTTGGTTCTGCTCAGCATCATGATTGGTGTGTAGATCTGTCAATCTTACAAAGATAGGCGGGATTATCACTCTGGCAGACAACAGTCAGGGCAACAAATCTCGCGCTATTTGGTCCTAACTGCCGTCATTTCCTTTAGTGAACCAGAGAAATGCCTGCTTGAAGTTCGTCGACGCAGCGGGCCACGTTTTTATCAAGGATGTGTTGTTAGTTGTTGATCCCCGTTACGGTGAAAGTGACGTTAAGAAGCCGGTGGTTGACTTTATTTGCTGCTAACGTCTGGAAAGCCGTCGTAAGTAGAAAACTGATTCTTCCGTAACTTTAGTTATCCAGCTCGTGCTTGTGACCCGCCAAAAGCCGCGGAGATTCAGCGAGGAAGTGACCATTTTGTCCGTTAGCGCACTTCGATAAAGTTGTATTTTTGTCTTAGGAGAGAAAATGAGCGGCGGATTCAACTTTGGACAGCCCTCTACGGGCTTCACCTTCGGGACTCAGAAGCCCGCAGCCCCAGCCGCAGCCGCAGCCCCTGCCACGGGCTTTGGGCTGCCGGGCTCCACACCTGCCGCCGCCGCCGGAGGAGGAGGCTTCACCTTCGGCACCGCTGCCCAGAGCAACACCAACACCACCGGCGCTTTCAGCTTTGGCACCCCAGCAAAGAGCGCTGCAGGCGGCGGAGGCTTCTCTTTCGGGACACCCACCACCACATTTGGCCTGAATGCGGCTCCTCAAACCACCGCAGCACCGGGGTTGACTTTAGGCTCCGCAGCAGCTCCAGCTCCAGCTGCAGGGTCAGGGTTCACTCTGGGCGGAGGATTGTCCGCACAGACCACCGCTGCCGCCCCTGCAGGAGGAGGCTTCACCTTTGGAGCTGCCCCTCAAGCTCAAGCCCAACCTCAACCCCAACTCCAGCTCCAGCCCCAGCTCCAAGCCCAACCCCAGCTCCAAGCTGCACCAACAGCCGCACCAACAGGCCCACCAGCAGCAGCAACAACTGCTTCTGGTGGCCTGTCCTTTGGAGCATTCAGTTTTGGAGCTACCAAGGTCCAAGTGACCACAGCTGCAGCCTCTACTACTGCCACCGGAGGAGGCTTCAGCTTCGGCGCCAGTGCTCCTTTCAATCTCACCCAGCCCCAGCCAGCCTCTACTACTGTAGCAACAGCAGGCCAGGGTGGAGGCTTTCCCTGTGGGATCAAACCTTCATCCACCCCAGCCCCTCCTGCAGCGACCCAGGCAGCCCCAGCTCCAGGCCCCTCTCTCTTTGCTTCACCTATCGCTACAGCTGCTGCTGCTGCAACTGCCACTGCAACAGGTACAGGCTTCACTTTGGGTGTCACCCCAACTCCAGCAGCAAGCATAGCGCCTGCAACAACCACAGCAGCTCCTGGAGGTTTGTCTTTTATGCTCAAACCTCTGGGGTCAGCTCCTGCCACATCTGCCCCTCCCTCTACTGCCACAACTGCAGCTGCCACAGCTGCTACTGGGTTCACACTGGCACTCAAACCTGCATCCAGCACAAGTACCACCACAATCGCTACAGCCACAACAATCAGCACCACCGCAGCTCCTCCAGTGATGACCTACGTCCAGTTAGAGGGTCTTATAAACAAGTGGAGTCTTGAGCTTGAGGACCAGGAGAGACATTTCTTACAGCAGGCGACTCAGGTGAATGCCTGGGATCGCATGCTGGTGGAGAACGGAGAGAAGATCACATCCCTGCATAAGGAGATGGAGAAGGTGAAGCTGGACCAGCGGCGGCTAAACCAGGAGCTGGATTTCATCCTGTCCCAACAGAAGGAGCTGGAGGACTTGCTCTGCCCACTCGAAGAGTCGGTGAAAGAGCAAAGTGGAACCATCTACATGCAGAACGCTGATGAGGAACGAGAAAGAACATACAAGCTCGCGGAGAACGTGGACGCACAGCTGAAGAGGATGTCGCAGGATCTGAAGGAGATCATCGAGCACCTGAACACATCCAGTGGTCCAGCAGACACCAGTGATCCAGTAAGACGAGACACAAGCTTTAGATCATGTTTGACCCTGCCTTGATGATGTATTTCTGCTGTAATTAATGTCTTTCTTTCTTTCTTTGTGTTTCATCCTTAGCTTCAGCAGATCTGTAAAATTCTCAACGCCCACATGGATTCCCTCCAGTGGATTGATCAGAACTCGGTTCTCCTGCAGAGGAGAGTGGAGGAAGTGTCCAAACTGTGCGACACCCAGCGCAAGGAGCAGGAGAAAACCTTTCGTTTAACATTTGACTGATCTGCAAAAAAAACAAAAATCTGTTGGCCTGTATGTTGACATAACGCTACATCTGGAATTTTTTATTAGTATTCAGAAACAGAGGGGACAAGATGATTTAGATTTACATTCAACACAATCCCTGTCATACTCTGTTTTACTCTCTGTTGTTTTGAGCTATCTGGTTTGCATAAAGATGAATATGTTCAATGCAATAGCAATAGCTATTATATATAGTAGTGACAGTGGTCATCTGTTCCTATGTAAATTGCTATGCTTGTTCTAAATAGTATGATTAAATAAATCTTTGGAATAAGGATTTTTTTTATTGATTAGTAAAGAAATGAACATTACTGCCATTTCTGTTATTGGTGATGCTTAGAGATATTTGTGCACACATTCAGTGGCCCTGTGCTGTTCAAAGGTATGAATATGAAATTAGTTTGGGTTTTATTAATGGCTGAAACAATTGTGGAGTCAATCAACAGAAAAACTGCTGTTGTTGTCGACATTTTTCTGGCAAAAAACCAAACATTGCCAGTTCTATCGTTTTGTGATGTGCTTTGTGTTTCTTTGAGAGTTCATAAACTGAACATCTTTATCTGAAGATGTCACGTTGGGCTTCAGGACTCTGTGACAGCCATTGTTTAATATTTGTAAACCAAGTGATTCTAAAAATAAGTGACAGATTCGTTAGTAATGGAAATAATTAGATGCAGCTTTTACGTCAGATGAGTAAGAAAATTCAACAGTAAAAATCTGTCTTTAGCAGTTTTATTTTACAGTTCAACAGTTAAGACAGGCACTTTGAATTCATTCTAGAAGCCACATTTCAGTTGCTTTTCGCCATCTTCCCTTTGGATTCCTCACGTGGAACAAAAAGACTTCAGTGATGATCTACAGTACAGTGGATGCTACCTGAGCGCCACGACGGCGAGAGACGAGAGGAAGAGTTCGTCTAAAGCACAAGTGAAAATGGAGCAACTCTCACATTTAGAGTCAGCTGTGGTCGTATGCAAACATTTGCTATTTGTGACATGAAAATGTACCTAACTGAGGTTTCAAAGTGGAAAGAAGCATTCTAAATGCATAAAAGCACATAAAAAAGCTAATGCACATTCATATTAAAGTGAACCAGCTGTACCTTCCTTGCATAGACTTTAGGCTTTAAGTACAACTTTAAAAACAGTAGTAAACTTTGCCCTTTTTTTTTGTTTCGTGGTGGAAAAAAAACTTTGGTTGCATGATTTTTTTTAAATCAAAAAATAAATATAGACTGTGCAGAAGTATTTAAATATATACAACACTTACAAAAAGCAATTCATCGTCTATACAGTGTAAAAAAATTCAAGGTTTTGAACCCAGCTAATTCCAAGAAAGAATTATCTACAAAAAAAGAACACCAAATTAACAAAAAGTTTATGTGTCCTGTCACAATTTTTGTTTTTTTAAAAGCATTTGATCCTGATCCACAAACACTCAGGAGTAACTTTCATTGTTGATCCAAGTCGTCATCCACTGCTTTGTTTCAAAAGCATCAAGTCTGACTTTTCCATCTTTACACTCAGGAGCTTCCTTTCTTATCCGCACTGCGTGGTAACGAGGGACGCTGTCATCTTGTTTGGAGCGTTGGAAGAATCCACACTGGGGAGGGAAGATTTAGAAACAACGCGTTACTAAAAGCTGATAAATGTCTGCAACAACAACAACAATGGAGAGATGTGCAGGAACATGAAGCATGCTTTGCAGTTGCAACGTTTCAAGCAGCCGAGCAGTAACAGCAAAGTCAAGAGAAGCACCTGCAGAGCACAGAACAATTGCAAAGATGCATTTTGAAGAGGAGAATATGAAGCCTGTAGGTAAGAAAATGCTTTAATTTTTTTTGAAAAAATTCAGAGACACATATTGCACAAATACCAAATTACTGTGTGTACATCTCTATTCTCCCACACAGGATGGAATATCTCTACTCAGAATTTGTCTTATATCAAATATAGGTTTACTATGAAAAGTGATCTTTCCAGAAGACTCGGTACAATATGTGTCTGGTTGAATTTTTCCTGCACTGAAGCAGCAGATTTGGCTGGAAAGTGAGTTCATTAGTTACAGCAGTCATCACACTCCATGCTGACTTTACCCCTGTTCAGAGAGCATAAATCAGGCCTCAGCAGAGAGTTTGTCAGAGGGCTGAACATGGATCTCTGCCTTGTGATACGCAGCATCGTATTGGTCTTTAGTTGCTCTCTTGAAGAAACCACACTGAGGAGGAGCAAGGGTGGGGAATTGTTAACAGAGTGTCAGCCCGAGTGATTTCTTCCAGCAACACAGCAGAGACATTTTGTTAGAGATGCTTCATCTGGAGAGTCCTGTGTTGACGCTCAAATGTCATCTGACAAAAGCTGAATGCTACCTGCTTATTGCTGTTCATCTACAGAATACCGTAACTCTAATCCTGACTGATGGCTTGAAAGAAAATCCTGTGGCCATCTGTGACATCAAATATTCTAGTATAGTGTAATATAGTATAATGAATAAAGTGTTAATTATTGAGCTTTAGATGTGCAGATTTTGTCACTGTTGGACAGAGCTAGGCTAACTGTTTCCCTTTGTTTCCAGTCTTTGTGCTAAGCTAAGCTAACCTCCTACTAACTCCAGCTTCATATTACATGTACAGACATGAGAATGAAATCAATCCTTATCTAAATGTCAGCAAGAAAGTAAATAGGCACTTGAATTATTCCTTTAAATCAGGGGTCTCCAATCCTGGTCCTTGAGAGCCACAGTCCTGCATGTTGTAGATGTTTCCCTCTTCCAACACACCTGATTTAAATGATCAGCTCATCATCAAGCTCTGCAGAAGCCTGATAACGATCCTGATCGTTTGAATCAGGTGTGTTGGAAGAGGGAAACATCTAAAACATGCAGGACTGTGGCCCTGAGACCCCTGATTTAAATACTACAAAATGTATAGCACTGAAATATTTTATTTTCACAGCCATCTGGTTAAACTTATGTGGCATGAATTCACCTCTTTAACCCTTTATGGCCACGACTATGTTTTACAAATGTAGTCAGTAACAGTCGCAAAGGTTTGCAACCTAATCGTATCACTAGGTCAGAGTTAGATTTGAAGATCTCCAGCAAAAATTTTGTAAAACATTGAGGCGGTGACACTGATGTTATCGAGCGTGCTCTAAAAACTCTTAACTGTAACTTTTCCAAATATGCTGCAACACAAATGAAGCACAACAAATGTTAGGTCCATTTTAGTCATAGTAGGCAGTCTGTTTAGTGAATGTGCTACAACTGTAAAAGTCTTGATCCAGACAGATACAACTCCAGGGTGGAAAGGGTTCAAATTCATCAATTCACAATCATGAAGAGCGATGTATTGCAGGACTTTTGTATTAGACTGCATTAGTTTGCCTAATAAACTGTCAACTGAGTCTATGTAAATGTATGAAGTAACATAAAAACAAGAAATGCAGATGTGAAAATGTCCTTTTTTGTGTTTTTACTTCAACAACTACACAAATTCTGTCCTGATTTCTTTAAAGAGTTCGCTTAAGTTTATGTCCTAGCTCCTATTTTCATTCTGTCATGTCCTATTTTACCAAACATGGATGTTGTGAAGGTGTTCTGTTCTCACCTTCCAGAGCAGAAACACCAACAAAGCCAGAATCAAGACTCCTGCCAGAACGGCCACCAGTATGATCCACCAGGGAACTCCCCAATGCTGAGCCACTGCACTGTCTGGAGACACAGTCACCGTCACCTGCAGTAAAACATCAAAAACTGAGACATCAGGAGAGTTCAGACCAAGAGAGTGAACATTTAACAGTTTCATGTAGCTATTGAAAGACTTACAGTCGTGTCAGGAGTTCTCAGGATCATGTTTTTACTTTTAGTATCAAGCACAAGCGAGGCCTTCACAACTAAATCCAACGTGGAAAAAGAGGCGTAATCCTGTGAACAAGCAAAAACAGCTGTTCAGAAACCTGATCAGGAGGTCCGACATTATCATCAAGCACTGAAGAGACACACGAAAACAATTAAAATACAGTTTGTTACCTCGATAAAGGTTGAGTTCCACAGACGAGACCTCAGTTTAATTGATGTACCGTCGAGTCCCTGCAGAGGGCACTTCAGCACCACACAGTTCTTCTCTTTTTCACAGGACTAGGAGGAAAAGAAACTGTTACCCACCATGTTTACACCTTTACAAAAGAGCGTGTGTACATTAATACCATGACTCACCAGAACTTTTCTTTTGCCTGACAGATGTGACACTTTGCCGCCAGTTTTTCTTTGTTTTTTCCCAATTTCCCTTTTTTTCCGGGATGCAGAATTCTCCTGAAAGCACATTTTTTTCCTCATTAATGAAGGTTTGTCAATACCTGACTTCTGACTGACGCTTATTTCACTTGAAGCACATGTAACTACAGATTCAGAAATACTACCTGGATGAGTTTGAGAGTGTTGATCTCAGACTCAGGAGAGCAAACAATGTCCTTCGGCCCTTTGGATGTGATCTTCACCAGGTACAGAAGCCATTTCCCATCTTTGTTCCATTTGGGCCACTGAATGTGTAGCGAGGCTTTGACAGAAGGCTTCAAAGACATCCACAGGTAGTTTATCTGAGGGAGAAATCAACATGGTACAACTTCATATTAAGCTAGACGGCAAAAATAATTCAATATTCGTATAAAAATGGGTCCAATGAATAAAGTTACTCTGAATGTATAGTTGATCAAACTTCCGATCTCTTCTTCTGTCGTCATTGCACTTTCTCCTTTCACAACACCTCCGAAGGAAACCTGACTAGGACTGGCCTCCCTGGTGAAATCAAAAATCTTTGTTTCACATTCTTTTAGAGGTGCTGTGTAAGCATGTATAAAGATCTGCAACGACAAACTCACCCACTGACAGACAAAGGCAATTCAATGGTCACTTTAGCCTTTACTTTTACAGGAGCGATGTTTTCTTGCACACTGGTCCTAAAAGAAAAAAAAAAAAAATTGGTACAGTACAGTATGTTGATATATATTAAAAGCATTACAATTAGTAGTTCAACAGTACCTCTTTACATGTCTAGAACATAACAGAGTTTAGCTCATTATCCGGGGCAACAGCACTTACGTTTGGAGCTGCAGGTCGATCTCAAACTCAGTGGTGTCGAGACTCATGTTCAAAGTGCTCAGCAGAATGAAGAAGGTAGCCTTATGGGGGAAAAATTAAATACATCTCTTACATTTGAACTACAATAGCCAAAAAATTGGCAAAGTAAGCATTAGCTTGTGAACATGACACGTCTGTACCTGCGAGTCTCGCTTGAAAGGATTTCCCAGCTCACAGTCTGCCTGGGAGCCGTTCTGATTGGCATTACAGATGATCGGCTTTTCTGTCTGGAAAGAACGCATTGTAAAATTTGAGGATGGTTACTAAACTACAAATTAACTAACTTTTAAAGTTCCTCTCTGCCATAAAATAGTTCACACGTAACTCTATAATATAACATCTAACAATCTTTCTTGTGTAACTTTTTGTGTAAGCAGTGTGTCGGCAGCAGCACAGCAGACCTACTGTTGTTTGATGTGATCGGACTCCAGAATACGACAGGGCATCTGGGAAATTTGCCACCAGCTTTGCCTCGTAAGCATCATCACCGTTCATGTTGTTCACTGTCACTCGCACAGCCAAGATCTTATTCTCATAACTCAGAAGAAAATCAGGGATGTTGTTCTTGCTGTAGAAACACAATCATCAACAGTACGTTTAGACTGAGCTTGGTGGCATAAAAAGACTTAAAGTATGTTGTTTTTGTACTCGAATGGCTTAATAAGCTGTTCTAGCAAAAATATACAATATATAATATACAAAGACAAACTTTGGTCAATTCAACAGATAAAAGAGCAACATGCTGTACATAAAGCAGCATATTTATTTGTTACTATTTAACTGTGTGATGCTATGTGTTGAGTGAACATGCTGTGCTGTTGGCGTGTCTGAGCTTGTTGTTTGGATATGGTTTCAAATGAGGGGGTTTATGGTGTAACGAGACTCAACCAAAACAAAGAGCGACAAACAGGCAGCCTTGAGTGGTGATTGTTTCACTTTAAACAGTTTTATTCCTTTTTACCTTATCTTTCGATAATTTAAGACAACATTCTAACCTGTTGTTTAATGGAAGGTACACATCCAAGTTACTCTTCTTGTAGTATAAACTGTACTCCATCTTCAGGTTACTCCGACAAATATGATCTAGGCCACATCCCTCTTTTATAAAGTTGACCTGCAACAACAAAAAAAGAACAACGAGGCAAAAATTATGATATCACGTTTATAAAAATGACTTTTTGTGTTGACTCATAAATGCAGCCTGAATGTTTACCTCAGTGACGACTTTGACTGGCTGAGAGGAGTCTACGATGGGCATCAGCTGAGGGAGGCCGTTTTTTATCCTCTGTTGTTTTGCACCAATGATTTCTGGAGACACCTCGATGAGAATACTGCGCATCTTGTCTTTGATGTTGTCCTGTGCGTGCCAGAAACAGCCAAGTTACAGATAGTACCTGCTTCTAAATGGATGTAATTAAACCGTACAAATACATCCATTTAAATCAACAGTATATTATCACTGATGAAAACAGTGACACATTAAACTTTACTTGTGTTATTAAAGCTATTATATTTTCGAAACAGTTATCCCTTCCTGCAGGTTTTTAAAAACAAAATACATTCTATTTCTAGCTCTGTTTGTTCTGCACGTATACACGCTCATCATAAGATAGCGTTAAAACACCCAAGAAGTCATTAAGACTATTTTAAAGCTATTAAAACAATAAAAACTGGAAAAATATTCTGTAGATTTGCAGAAATTGACTTGCATTTGTGCAAATATCACCTGATAGATAAATAGATACTTCATTGTCTTTGCATATCAAGACAGAATAAAGCTTAGCATGACAGCAATCCATTCTACATACAGCATAAATAAATAAACTGAATATAGTTTTCAAGTATATATCCACATGTTGACCAACTGAAGATGTTCCTGACTGTTGCTTACTGGTGTAAATGTGTGACTGTATGATTAACCTTAAGTCTAGCTTTGATCACGATGCATGACTCCTGGTTTTGGCCTCGTAGGTCTACGGTGCCATTGAACTGGTAGTCGAATTCAGTGTGGGACTTGTTCAGGAACACCACTCTGGAGGGCAGCCCTTGTTTCCTGCGAACTCCATCCGCTTCCACAAAATAGCCAATAGCTGCAGCATAGAAGTAAAATACATGTAAGAAAGAAAGGCTAAACGTTCCTCTATATGGAAAATAAATCTTATTCTACATACTTAGTCTTGGGCTGTAAGATGCAGGGTTTGCTTTGTAGGCAAAGCATGTTTCTACAGTGAAGCTACAAAGAGAAAAAGGACATTTTTAGGAAACAAAGTTTTGATGGGGAGGTCTGTTTAAATAGAATAATATTTGAACACCTACCAAATGCTGTTACCACAGGTTTTAATCGTAAGGTCAATCTCCTGTGGAGATATTTTGACACTTCTCCTGATGGTAATGACTGGCCGTGCCCTGAAAGAAAGGTTGTTAAATGAAACTGTGATAGATATCAGTAGGGTTTAAATTTACTTATAATGTGCAAGAGAACATTTACCTGTAAATTAAAGCTGTGTCTGACAGAGAGCCTACAGCGAGGTCTGGATAAGAGTTACCGTCCAGGTCCATGTGTCCTGCCAGAGAATATCCAAAGAATCGAATGTTGTGCTGTTTTCCTGAAAGGATCTAGAATAAAGGGGGGACATGAAACAAAGGATTAAAAACTTTAAAAGAAAAAAACTAAGTCAGAAGGTTAATGAAAGAGCTCAGTGTTAAAATATTTCATTTTTTAGATCAGTAGGCAGATTGATTTGAAGATCTGGACTACTGCACTTCAGTGTGTCCACGTTTCTGAGCAAGACTATCCATTGATCCATTGTCTATACACCACTTAATCCTCACTAGGGTCACGGGGGGG